GGGGGGGGGGGAGAAAGTGAAAAAAATCGGTTAATCGATAGCGACCCGAATACTCGCCGTCGGCGTTACCTCACCGACCTGCCGTTCTACTAATACATTATTACGCGACTTGTTTAATATAGACGCGCGCGCTGCCGCTCGCAGTTCGACTCAGTCATTTTCGGTTCGTAAGTTCGCCGGGTCGTCATCAACCGGTCGTCCTCTGTCGTCCGCCGACACAGTCCTAGTTTACTTTTATACCCTTGCTCTCTCGTTATACTCTGCGTGACCTACATGACGGTGTTAAGTCTCTGTGTCAGAGAGAGAGAGAGAGAGAGAGACCGACCGGTTCTTACCTCCGGCGACTCGGTGCTCTCGTTAAACGTCGCGACGGCGTCGCGACGTCGTCTGTCCGAGAAAGTGATCTTCCCACCGCTCGGAGAGCCTCCCTCTCGAGCCGGTTCTCGCGAATAATCCTTCGCAACGGACCGCTCTCCTGCGCCTCTCTCGCGAGCGTTCCTGTAGTAATCGCCGTAATCCGCGTAATCGTCCGTCGAATAATCGTAGTCGTCGTCGTAGTCGTCGTTCTTGTAATGAGAACCGGCGTGATAATGAGGCTTCGGGTAGATCGGGTAACGATGGTGATCCTGGTAGAACGACGGGTAGTGCTGATGCGGTTTCACGTAGTGGTGGTGATGCTCGTACACGCCGTGCGTAGGTGCGTAATTACCGTAGAGGCCGTACTTCTTGTGGGCCAGCAGGTGGTCCAGCTTGTGAACGAGGCCCGGGTTCGGCGTTACGTGCAGATTCACGTAAGGCTTTACGACCTTCTCCCCGTACTCGTCTTTGGTCACCTGCAGCGCTACGAGCGGATTCACCGAAACCGGGCCTAGATTTATACCCTGTCCGCCGATCAGTCCGTAGCCCGGGTAACCCAGGGGATTATTAGGGTGTGGCGCGATCGGACTGCCTACGGTCTGCGGTAGGCCGAAACTTACGCTCCACGTCGGCTTCACGTTCAGTTTCGAGGTGTCCAGATTCTCGGCTATCAGTCTCTGCAACGAGAGGGTCGAACAAACATTCACCTGGAGAACCGAGATTTCTCTTTCCCTCTCTCTCTCTCTCTCTTTCCGTCTTTTTCTCCCCCTCTCTCGCTCTCTCTCGCTCTTTCTTTTTTTCGTAGGTATTAGCACGTCGATTAGCCGATGAGAGACTTTGCCTGCTTTTGGCCCCTCACTTTCGCGCTTTGTTAGAAAAGCGTTTGTTCGAGCCGCACACGTAACGCAACGTCACCACCCCCCGACCGGTGTAATTCCTCCGTCTCTACCACGGCCTTGAATCTATCGTATCTGCTAGTCTGCGGACGTCTAATTGCGACCGACTGAACTTGCTGAGATCGAACGATGTGTTAGGAAAACGATGGCATTGCTGTGTATGTACAAGTAGGCATGCGTTCTGACAGCGGCTGAGATCACTTCGTCGTTAACCGATTTCCTCGAATGTGTGTGAGTATTCTCTCGTCAAAAGATTTTCATACCACACACACACACACACACACACACACGCGCGCGCGGTAGAGCAAGATCCAACGCAAGAATGATTTCATCTCGCAGTTGTTGCGTTGTTATCGATAAATTTCTACCGATTTTTACCGAAAAACCTGCCCGTATTCAAGCACAACTTTTTTCTTTTCTTTTCGATGAGAATCATCATCTGTCGTCGAAGAAAATGATGCCCGAGTGCATACAGGTATCGGCCTCGGATGTCTCGCAAAAACAGTACGAACCTGTCGAAGCATCGACGCATCGTTTGAAATTGAAAGATCACAGACCGAGTCATTGTATGCATATATATATAACGCTGTCGTTACAACCAGAGTTACTTCTGTGGTTCTCAACCTGAAGTGTGAAGTGTAAGACTGTAAACCTCTGTTATTCTCCGTCCGGTGAATGAGACACGCACCGTCAACGGTACTTCACGAGGTGCTTCTTAAAAATATCGATTGTCACGAGATCGAGACCGCCTGAAAGCCGCGGGAAAAGCGAGAGAAATAGTCTGAGAATCAACTCACTTCTTGCGCCTGCTTCTTGTCGTCCTGCTTGGCGACCTGCTTGACGTCCCTGCGGTTTCGCTTCGCGACTCCCACCTCGGCTCCATCCACCCGCTTCGTCTCTTCGACCTGCTCGGTCTCGTTGACTCCCTTGGGCACCCTGACGACGCTCATAGTGCCGTTACCGTCGGTGATGACCAGCTCGACCTCGGCCTCGATGTCCTTGTCGAGGTTGCGCGGGTCGAGCGGCAAGTAGAGGTCGTCCTTACGGCCGACGTTGTTGAGCGCGGCGCACTGATCGTAAGGCACGCACACGCAGTCCTCCTCGTAGTTCAGGAAAGACGAAGAGCCGAAACTGCTGTCGCCGGCGTCGAAGCCACCGTTCGTCAGAAACTGACGAACGTTGGAGCCGAATTGCTGGTACCCGCCGTTGCTGACCAGCTGCTTACCATTCAGCTTCTCGTAGACGGGGTAACGCTCGGCGTAGCCTTTCACGGTGGACGATGAGGTGGACTGAGCGCTGTTGGAAAAGGGAGTCTTGACGTTGAACGCCTTCTTGTAATCCTCGAAATCGTTGTAAGAGGCGCCGTTGCCGTAACCGACGAGGCCGTCACCGAGCGACGGCACTAGGACGGGCTTGGACGCGCCGTCCCCGTGGTGGTAGTGATGATGAACGTGTTGCTGGACGGCCGACGGCCCCGACTGATGCAGAACCACTTGCTTCTTGTCGATCAGCTTGTCTTCGTAATTGAGCTCGACGTCGACGCTCGGCTCGTAGATGGGCTTCGAGATGAACGGCGGTGCACCGAGCTTCTTGAATCCTTGATACGGTCCGACGAAGCTGGCCGGCGGCCCGCTGAACGGAGGTCCTCCGGGATAGACGGGCCCCGGGAATGAGGAGCTGAAATTCGGCGGGAGCGGCAGGGGTTTCGCCGGGCCGTATGGCCGTTTCACGGGTATCGCCGGAAGCGGACGACCCACCGGCTTGATGGTCACCGGTTGCGCGTAGATCACGTCGTGCGGGTGGATGTCGCGATGCGGCGAGTAGTACGGCCGTCGTCCCTCCACGTCCTCGCACTGCGGCAGAATCAACATAACGTGAATAAGGGTTCCTCCTCGAGGGAAATGCTATCGCGACCGGAACGTAAACGCGCCTCCCAAAGGTACCGTCATGTAAATATACGTTTTTCGGGCGATTTATTCACCTTCCGTTAGCCACACCTTGGTGTTTTGAATTGACGAGAATATATTTGTGTAAAAAGAAGCGTATGATTTAATGAAAAAGATGTCTTTCATTCTGAGCAGCCGGATGGAACTCGCGAGTTTAAGTAAAATGGGACAAAACGGGTTTCGGTACCGTCGAGCATTCGTTTGATTTTTTTGGAAACACTTACGCTCATTAAGCCGAGAGAGCAGAGCTTGTCCTTGATGTAAGTACGGGAGACAGTGTCGTTGCCAAGCTGCAGCGCAGTTTTGACGTTGGGATCCGAGTAAACCTCGTCGTAGCCCTCGAGATTGTGACCCTGACGATTCGATACGAGTATATCATCGATTACAGATTCCACCTGTAATCAGGTATATATAATTAACGCACGTAAATAAGTACGGCGTTTTTGAAAGATTTTATTTTTTATTTTTGCTTTAAAAAAACGCTTGTTCTTCAATTTATTCGCAAAACTTTATCAGGATATCATTTTAGTTTCATTTCAGTTTGCTTAATGTATATGTGTCATATGACTATTTAATAATACTGTTTCGTAAACCATTTCATTATTTTACAACCATTTTACAACGTGAGTAATCTTTACCGATCTCTGTTTGAGGGCACTGGCGACCCCGCTGGCGCCCGTCTGAACGTTAGCGTTGTACAACGATGGTTGTTGCACCTCCCTCGGCGTGTTAGAAGTGTCGAACTTAACGGTACGATATTTGTCCTGTTCTGCATTCGAATTTTCAATCGAGTCTCGGCCGCTCCACGATTGCGCTACGTCGTCCGTATCGTATACTCGAGTACAAAGCGCTTGTCTCGCTATCACCAAGCAAGCTATCAGGATGAACTGCATCCTCATCCTGCGACAGAAGCGAAAGAAAGGGTCAAAAGGGAAAGAAAGAGTCAAAATTCAATCATCTTTTTCTAAACCCCTCGTGTTGGAATGACATCTTTTAGACGTTGCACTTTCGAGCCGAACGCGCGCGTTGTTCACCGCAAAACTGATTTAATCTGATTATTATTTCGTAACAATGAAACCCTTCGAAATATTCCACGTGAAATTATGTAAAGTGTGAATGAATCAAATTGCAATGTACACTCCCGCGTTTTTTTACTCCGAGCGGTAAAGTCATAGAAAAGAATGGAAATTATTTCGTACATTAAACTTGTGCTTGATTTTTTAAGTAAATAAACTTTGAATTTCACGAATAAAGGCACCGAATAAAGGCACCGGGAACAACCAGATTGCATTTTGGTTGAAGGAAACGGAATTTCGGGTTACAAGAATCCACGTTTGAGTCACGAGGACCAGAAATTCTGCCTGCCTTCGATCAGAATTTTTCCAGATCTTTTCCACGCAGTGTTATTGAAACTGGTCGATTTCAATAACTCGATTATTAGCTTCAATAATATCGAAGGAGATTTACGTCAATTAACTGTGAGTTTATCGAGCAATTCCACCGATGCGACAGCATTTCTTTTTCTTTCGCGCATAGTTGGATTTAATTTTTTTTCATTCTTTTTTATTCCGCTCCATTTCCTCGGTTAAACCTTATTATTCGAATTTATACGAGGTCGCTCGCGATTTTCCACTCTCCGCGCGGATCTCTCGGCGAATTTCTCCGGCGGGCGTGAATCCACGTGAAAGTCACATCTCGCCTTTCTCCGTTCGCGGTTTTATTGTTCACCGAGGAAGACCGTGCAGGTAACGTCGGGTCATTATCGACCTCTTCTTCGCGGAGACGCGTCTTTAACATTCCGGAAATCGTCCATCCACCATTAACGACCCGAACGTCTCTCTCCCCCTCTTGTTTTTCCATAAAGACGAGATTGTATTATCCACGAGACGTTCATCCGTGCACACGTGATCGTAGATACCGGTTTCCGGTTGACCTCGGGTTGCTGCCTCGGGCGTAAAGACGCGGCGCAAGGTGTGTAATTAAATCGAGGAGGACCGAACGAAAGCGAGAGGAAGTCGGGTGAAAGTCGTTTAACCGGCTCGCACGATGCGCGATGTCTCGCCGCACACATCGTCGCCGGGTACAACGTCTTTTTGAAATCGTTTTGCTGCGTCTGGAGAAAGCGATTGCGCAACGACGAATGCGACGCGCTCTCGTTCGTTTGTTCGGTGGGTTCGCGGCGGGTCACGATTTAAATTTCAAATAGGAGTCAACTGACGCGTTCCTTACACCCTGGCGACGCTTTGTGATTAATACGGTGCCTCCACCGGTTGGGAAGACGCTCCGTTTCGCGAAGGAATACATGACGCGTCGTCCACTTACGACAGTGAAAGTAGTTACGCGTACGCGCCAATATTTTCAATATCTTCATTTCCTCCGTTTTTACCTCGACGACATACTCGGCTAATAGCGCGCGGATTCGCGCGCGCGATCGTTGAAATTCGCGTACTCATGCTGCCCGCGAATCACGGCTCGGCTTTACACGGCTTTCCTCAATCTACGTTCGACGATTCGCGCTTTTGACGAGTAAACGAGTTGATCTCGAAGTGGAATGACTAAACGGGAAAAACGGGATCATGTTGTCCTTAATCATCCGATCTAATCCGATTAAACGTTTTACCGCACTTTGAAATCTCTCTCTATCTCTCTCCTCCCCTTTCTTGCCAACTTTTTAGTGTTTCTATCGCGAGTGTCTTCATCAGTCGACGACCACGTTGCTAATTCCGCTTATTCCCACCGTGATGCTCGCTCTTGGCGAAATGTTTCCGACCAGCGATCAAAGTAAAAGTTGGTGGTCGTGAACGTACAGCGAGAGAGCGATAAGAACGTTCCCCGTTGAATATTCGTGGCAGAATATAGGATAATTTAGCATACAGTGGCGGCTTATACACACGCCTGAGTAAGGAAAGAGGCGGTGGATGAAGAGAGGAGAAAGTTTTTAGATATATTCTCCGGAATGGAAGCGACGCGTGGGTGGTGCGAACCTTTTCACTCCTTATTTCGTCGAGATGGATTTCACACTTTCCGCGTGTGTGTGTGTGTTTTCGATACATATTTGCTCATCTAGAAGAAATCAAAGAAATTTCCGCCCGACACCGTTCATTCGTCGAACAAACGGCACACGAACGGATTATTGGCGGTAGTCGGTCGGTATGGAATCGATAAAAACGATAATAATCGCGCAAGCGTTATTGTTGTTCGTTATCGAAATGTGAACAAATATATCTCTTCCTCCCCCCGGGAAAATGGTCGAATTTTTGTTAGATTACACAAGCCACGTCTACTCATCAAACATGAGCTCTCGCCTATTGATTTGTTATTTTTTCGTTTTTTTTCTTTCGCAATTTACATTCCATTTATAATGAAAAGCACGTCATCGTTATTTCGAAAAATATCGTGCATCGTACCGAAAGGGGCCTGTTTGTACATTTTACATCCGATCCGCTTCGCGCTTGCAGGCATATCTCGTGTATTTAATAAAATAATTCAAAAGCATGTCGGTTCGGAAATGCATGGAGAAAATTAAATATAAATCTTCTCATGTGACGTGTATAGAGGAGAAAGTGATACTATATAGTCCTTACATATACAACGACATTAATATCTTCGCTATTAGGTGATGAATTTTAGTGATTACTTATGGTATCATTTATTTAGTATCATTACGCAGCAGCGTTAATATGCCAATATACAACAGCTGATATTTATAATAACGCCGATAATTGTAATAATTTGTAATTTTTACTTTTCAGCATTTCGAAACGTTTTCAAAGTACGTTTTAGCATTTGATTATATTTTTGTTTATTCTTCTTAATCTCGGGCGTATTATCGCACGAATATATGTACACTTGAGTGTTTTATTTCCGTTATTCTATTCTGCTGTACATATTTCGAGTTATGTGTAGTTAAACAATAGCATTGCATTTTCCTCCTGTGTTACCCCTCGCCCCCCCCCCCCCNCTAAAATAAATTTAATACGTTCTCTTTATCAAGGTTTTCATATCGGAATGATTATTCGATAAGTCAATAATTCAAAATAAATTTAAAAGTCTCCTCATTTTGTAGAAATTGTCCTCTTGACAATTTATATTTACTTCCCGATAGATAAGTCAGTATCTATATTAAAAATTTACGGTTATATTCGTTGTTATTTTTTTTAAGGGAGAGAATTTATTTGATGTAAATACATAAATTTGTAACAATGTGTTTTTTTTAAACAAAATCAATATTTTAAATTTATTTCAGTGAAAGACACATTACTGTTCTTCTTCGATCTATTATGCAGTGTCGCCACATTTTTATAAATAATGCCCTGAGTAATGAATATTTTATAACTTTAAATCTAGAATCGATTGAACAAATATTTTGATGAATGTAACCGCTAAATTTTTAATTAAAAATATTGATTGTTTGCAAAGGTATTGTGCAAAATATAAATGCGGATCATAATATCATTTTCTCTCTTCTACGTTTTTGAAAAATATTCAAATTATTCAATTGCCTCTAATAAGGGAAAGGCTGAAAGTGGAAACGCGCTTTTGGAATGCGATTTTTTTTTTACAAATTAACAAAAATATGAAAATTTTGATATCATTGAATCGATTAATTATTTGGCAGCACGAAAGATTTCAAGGAAAAGAGGGAAAGAGTTACGTAACAAAATGTTCCAAAATCAATACTTTCTTTCGGCGAATAAGTACTTTTACATTCATAAATGTTATAGTATATTCCGTGCATGAGCACGCACGCATCTACAATTTCGTAAATATTGAAATAAACGAAAACTTATATACGCTGTAACATTTGATGAATGTAAAAATACTTATTCCCTTTAAAAATAGAATTATATTCTCACTGCGTATATCGTGTTATTGTATTAGTAAATATTTTGATTGAAAAAAAGGGAAATATGTTATAATACATTAGGTAAGTATTAAACGCACGTCGCCCGCTTACCAGTCAACTCTTTCCGATGCATTGTCAAGCCTCTTACGACAACGTATTAATCGGAACTCTACTTATGTTTTCTAAGCATCTGGAAAAAGTCGATTTTTCCAAAAACCATTGATCTTGGAATATTTTGTTACTTAACTGCTTTCCGCTTTTCTTTAAAATCTATCACGCTGCCAAATAGTTAATCGATCCGATGACATCAAAATTTTCATGTTTCTTAATTTGTAAAAAAAAAGTAAGAAGAGATCTCTGAAGCTAATGTTTGAAATTCTTAATATGAACATGGAGAACTGCTTTTTGCAATAAACCGCGCACCAAAACGTGCGTCTCCTTCTGGTCCTTCCCTCGTAAGTGCGTAAGAAATTTTCTCTTTTTTATTAAACAATCACACAAATCAAACAAATCAACACGAAGCATTATCAAATGTTGCCTCGCAGAAACAAAGTATGATATCCACCTACATATACGATATATAAGTTATGAAATTATTATCTATTTGGAAATACATACCTGAACGTTGTCTCCGGTTCGCGCTCGCAATAAACTGATTTTCTCCAGCGGACGTCACGACGTCTTATACTCGGACTCTCGCTCTCTAATCGAACACTTTCTCCGTGCACAACGCCAAGGTGTCTGTGCTTTTACCGAGGCCTCGCTCGAATCTTATATACGGGCCTTTCGGGGATGCTGGGCGAGTCCACTGCCGGTGGGGTACATTCGTGACTCATTCGACAAGCGGACATCCGTCTTCTTCGTGACGGAACTCTTGAACGCTCGCGAACGACGTAAACTTAGAAAAAAAGAACCGATAAAAATGGAACAGTGTTCGTGTTTATGTTTTCATCGCGCGAACGAAAGTAAAAATTCTCGGAATTGCGTGTTTTTTTTTTTCGTTTTTATTACCGTTTATGACTCGTATTCAAGATTTTTTCTTTTTTATTTATACAAACTGGCATTTAAACTATACGTGCAAGTATAACGAGCCGTTACATGAAAGCAGTGCTTCAAGTTCGTTTCGAATAAAGAATTGGTGGTATTTAAAACATTTCTTTTATTGGAAAATAATGAATCTTTCTTAAATAATAAAGAAAAGGTAATAAATAATAAATTCCTTCATTGGAAAATAATTAATACGATGACGGAGAATTTAATAAACGCAAGCGTGGTATTGCACTATTAAAATTTATACGTCGGAAGGAATATATATATGCCAAAGTATATTGAGTTAGGATATTCGAAATTTATTAATGGAGACTTGGAATAGTCTTCTTATTTACTCTTGATTTGAACTCGTGCGACTTTTTCCTCTAAAAATACCTTAAAAATATGTGAAAGATTCTCTGATATTTCGACGACACTATAACGCTAAATTCAAATTCCCGCGATTCTGAAGTACTTCGAGAATTCTAAAAACCACTAAGTCTACTTTCTTACTATAAGAATTTTAGAGAAAATTATATCAGGAATCGCGGCCCAGATCGAATCCTCTCGCTCTCCAGGTGACTATCATCTAAGCTACTCAAGCTTTTGATCCGATATATTCTTTTATGTCCTCCTGTGGTATTATTAAGATTATTTAATAATAATTATCAAATACTTGGATAAAAATGTTAAACTATTTGGTAATTATTAGTAAATTATGTGTTACAAATTATATATTATTTAGCCGATAATTCGCTTGGTTCAACTTAACGAAAAGTTGTGTTATTACTCATTTCGTAATTATTACCAAATAGTTGATAATTACCATTTTGTATTAATACCACATTTGGTATTAATTACCAAACATTGCATGTTCAGCCAAATGCATTTGCTGACCGTTACTTTTCTTCAGTGTAATACTTATGCAAGGAAAGCCACGAAACAATTTTCAACAAAAACACATTTAAGCGTTAAATCTTATCTCGCTCTCTGTATAATCAAAATATAATTAGGACTACGAAATTGTTTATGCAAATCGGCATTAAATTTTCCTTGATCCGCTCCCTGCGAGAACAAAGAGATTGGGTCGACATAAAGAACGGATGGTGAGAAATCGACCGTGATTTGCATCGACGGGATTCTTCGTAAAATCCGTTTGCCAAACGATTCCTGGAGAACTCCAGGCCGATTCTTTTCGCGGATTTGGCTTTGCGTAACAGAAGCACGCTCGATACTTTAATGCGCGATGTATTCAGAATGTATGAACGAAATCGACTTACGTCTCTTAGTCAATGAAATTATACAAGATTATCTAATATTACAAACTCTGTTCCCGAGATTTCAATGGGTAGAATCCGGTAACGTGGCGGCACCAATGTCGCAATCGAACGTTCCTCCTTGCGAGGGCAATATACGCATCTTATAAATCTTCCTAATATACAGGGTGTTTCCTAACATGTGGGACTCACTTCAGCAGCGGACTGGCGACACGAAAACAAGAAAAAAAAATTTATATTAACGTATGTTCCATTTTCAGTTTCCGAGTTAGAGCCATTTTTCGTCTCCAGTAATCTACAATTAATCTACAGGTACATTTTTTTGATTGTTTCTGTGTTTCCAGTCTGTTGCTGAAGTGGGTCCGACATGTTAGGAAACAGCCTGTATATCGTTAACTCGAATTCTTTTTACAGGCTGCGCTCGGTGACGACTGCATTAGCTCTTCTAACCAAACTCGAGAGTCTAACGACCGTCATCCGGGGCATCCTCGCGCGGGGCTTTCCCCACGTGTGAGAAAGAGAGAGAGAGAGAGAGAGATCCCATGAAGCAATGTCGAATGATGCAGCCGAAAAACTATCGGACGGCCCTCTCTGCTACACAGCTGGTGTCCGCGCATTGACCTTGACTTAGTGCTTGCTGTCGGATTTCGTTGCGTCTGATTTGGAAGAAGTCGTGTTCACTCTCGACCGAGGACGGTAGAAAGTGATAGCTTCGAGGGAGCGCTTCTCTTCATTCGTGACGCCATGAGAGAAAACGCGCGCGTGTCGCTCGGGTTATTCCCGAAAATAACGTTTGACCGCGATTACAAAATACGTCACGTGGGAGAGCGGCGGTGGTCGAGTTCCACCGAACGGATGAACGACCGCACCGACTTGCCGATAGGAAAGGCACGTGTTTCCGACTGAAAAATCATCTGGCATTTCAACGATACCTTATTTTGATTTTGCTCTGTTTATATCGTTATATTTGTTCGTTTTATTTTGCTCTACCCTCGCATTTTCACATTTTGTTCTTTTTGTTGTGTTTTTTTCTCTACAACACACACCCGCACACTTTTCAAGGAGAATGCTGAAATTCAACATGGCGGATATGTCAAAAACGTTGAAATTCTGCGATATTGAATATATATTTCAACGCGCTAATATAAATGTATGCAGATTTTTGGACTTGCGTAAAACGAATCTGAATAAGCCGACTCTTCAAAATTCAAAATGACAGATTTTATACGGCGGTCGAAAATATCGAAATTTAATACGGTAATTTTTTTTTTTGTACTTTTGATCGCTATATCACTTGATCATAATTTGTTGTCTTTCAAGATTTGACCTCAGATTCGTATTTCATGACCCCGAAAACCTGTGCATATGCACTTATCTTGGGACATAAAAAAATATATTTGATGTGGAATTTCAATATTTTTGATAACCATATTATCATATCTGCCATTTTGAATGTCACTTTTATTTTGAAAAAATTACAGGTTCACACAGAAAAAAATGTTCCCGGATTTGATGAATTTTTTTTAATTGAAACAAATTTGTCTGCTGAGAATACAAACGTATGAGTAAACAAACGAATGTTTGACTTAATAAATAGAATTGTTTGGTTTTTTAAGCGATAAATATATTCATGTCAACTAACATATTTCTTTTATATTTTTATTCCAAAATTACAATGGTTATCACAAGCAATTAATTATTTGAAAAAGTCATGTTATTGTTACTATATGTTAGAAAAACATGAAAAAGATTCTTTTTATTTCAGTGTAACATTTAATATATATGTGTAATATATAAGTGTAATATTTACATTATATAATGAATTAAACTTTATTATTGAAAATATTATTTTCTCTAAATAATATATTTTTTTTCTTTCAAACACTTTACTTCAAGGTTTACTTCAATGAAACAATAACATTTTTAACACTTAAACAAAATGATATTTGAAATATTCAGTTACCTTGTTTATATTAAACAAATCAAACAAACGTGTGCGCCAAATCCAAAGAAATTTTTCCCTCTGTGTAGGAACGTTGCAGGAAAATTGATAGCGAATGAATCAAAGGGAATTTAAATTGAAAGAAAATTTGATGAAAAAAGTAAATTGAAAGAATGTCTTTTAATAAACTAGAAGGAAGATTCGCTGAAAATGGTTAAATATTAGACCGGCGGTGGATTTTTCTCGAAGACACGTGTCGTTTTTCCTACCGTGTGACTGTGTTGCCCGTGATGTTACACACACGTGTATCACCATCCCCCGGTGCAACCCCCCGTCCCCGTGCACTCTCAGGATCCGGGAGAAAGTGCTCGCGCGTATATATTCTAGAAGAGGTCGATCAGTGAACTTTTTCGCTTTTCTGCCGGTTCCGAGTCACGTAGGAATTTCGTTCGAATCGAATTCACCGCATTTCCACGAAAGTTACGTGATTTCGACGAATTACGTGAGAATTTTCAGTTTTCGCCCCCTCCATCCTTTCTTCCCGAGGGAGAATTTTGCTCGTGCTTGGCAGAATTAGATCCTCTCTGCACCGGTTTTTTTGTCACGTATCGGTGATCGCGGCTTCGCGAGCCTTCGTCGATTTCCTTTCACGTACGTCGTCGCGGTTACGCAACGGGGGTTTTCCGCGCGGGCTTTCGTAACACGCTGGGATTTCGTGTCACGCCGCGTTGAACCGTCGTCTTGATCCAATTCAGATATCCTGCACTTTTCCGCGACTGCTGTAATGGAAATAGATAGCTTGCGAGCTGTCGAACGACGAGCGAGCGAGTAAATGCGTCGTGTAACAGCGTTGCCCGCGTACGTTGAAGGAATTTCGTCTTTTTTCGAGAAATATTATGATATACATACATAATGGAGAAATTGCTCATGGGTTCTCTCGAATCGAAGCCGGGAAACGGACTACTAAATAGAAGAAGAATTTTATAACAGAATTTTATAACAGAATTTATAAAAGAATTTTATAACAGAAATTATTATGAAACATTCCGCTGTAATTTTAACATTCCGCTGTAATTTCTTATCTTTCGGCTTCAAATGTACGTAGAAAAAAGAGATTCGGTTGAATTCAATGTTTTCCACCAAAAAATTTAATTCATTAGATATTTTAAATATTGTTAGCAAAAGTATTTTTAATATCTTTCTAATATATAGTTACAATATACAGTTTTAATATATATTACATATAGTCCAAAAGTCGATTAACAAACCAAACGTGTTTTACGGTTGATGAAGACGGAATTTCTGATTCGTATAAACCAAATTCGATTCTTACAATCGGAAATTCCGTTTTCATCGATCGAAACGCGTTCGGTTCGTTCGCCAAGTGAATTCAGCTAAACTTTTTTTTCCTTGCACCGTTTGGATATTTCAAGAATTGATGTCTATTCACAGGATTTAAAAGTGTTTTAAATCGATTTGAAAAGTTTATATTCCCGAACAAGATAAACTCTACCGACAATCTATTCCTGCATTCTACTAAAAGACACGGTAAAATTGAGAAGCGTTGAAATTAAATCAATAATATCCTCCCCGTGTATGGAGGTCCGCGTTCTTCGAAATTCTTCGAAATCCCTCGAAGTTCCCCGAAGAATGAAAAAGAGGACGAACCATAACTACGTGTTTTTTTTTGTCTGTTTTTCCATTCGTGGTTCTTGTGGAAGGGAGAGAGGAAAGGGTATTGAAAAGAAAACACGTCAACTCTCGCCAAGATCTTTTCTTGTTTTTATTCTTTTTTTTTTACGTGGATGAGGCTACACGATAGAGGATGATTATCGATGAGAAGAAGACAAGCTTGCGGGCTACAGCTTCCACACGGGCATCAAGTGAGGTCGTCGGCCACCGGTCCGATGATTTTTGCGGTCAGTAGGTAATATGGTAGCCGTGCTGCTCGATCGAGTAACTCGACGGGATCTCCACGGGTGCGATCGGCGCGGAATACGCGGTGTACGCGTACGGCGATACCTGTGTGAACGCGCGAATGAAACAATAACAACGAAGAATAACAAGAAGAGTTGTATTTTTCATTCGCGATCTCTTCGCGATAAGTCCCGAGATATCGAAAAGCGATCGATTCGCCGACAAGACGATGCATTCGTAAGCTGCGTGCTTTGACACAAATACGCGCGGCTGTCTTGCTATCTCTGGCCTTTCGACTTACAACTCGACACACAAATATATGATTCTCTTTCCTTTCTTGTGTCTCTTGAACGCCTTAACCTTCCGCCGGGCGCGACCGATCTGACAGGTTTTTACATTATGTCATTTTATCGTGAAAAAATTATACTATGTTCTTCGTGATAAAACTAATTTGTAAAAGAAAAAAGAATTAAATATCTTTCTAAAATAGTGTAGTTCAATACAGTACGAGCTAAAATAACAAAGTAAGTTCGATTTCTATTCTAATAATATAATTTACTCTTACTTCGAACGATGATGTCTGAAATTTCCGCTGTTTTAGCGTCAAAGTAGGTTGCTCGACGTAACATTGAAGTAAAATCCGTCGAATTAAAAGCTCAAGAGAGAAGTAATAATAAGTATCGGTATCGTCAAAGTAGGTTTCTTATTAGTCCCAGCTATCTAAATAAGCGTAAACTATCCTTACGAGCATGAAAGCAGCACCAACATTTCGACTCGGGATGGAAGGTTGATGCGTTCGCTATCACAGTTTATTCCTCGCTTTTTTATTTACTTGGTCGTGTAGAACAAACTTAGTTCGATGAGATTAGTACGACAGATCAGTTCGGTAAAGGACGAATGAATGAAAGGACTATATTTGCCCTCTTTCCTCTTCCTCACACGGTACAAATTTTTCGTTCAAAACGGCCCGTTAAAATTTCGTGTTACTTTAACACAGGGAATGTGTTGAAAAGCACCAAAATATAACGTTAAATTAACCTCGCATTTACATTGTCAACATTATATTTGAATACTTTTCAACATATTTGTGTGCGTTTCAACACAATTTCCATACATAATTCTCAATGGGCCGTTTTTAAACATAAAATTCTCCACCGTGTGTGATTGAATACAAACGAACCTTAATTTGTTTTACTTTGATAATGTGGAAGACAAATGATTGCATGTGTGTGTGCGATGCTGGCCACTCGTGGAAGGTCATTATTACGTCACACGCGCAAAACACGTCGTACACGTTAAACCGAATACACCTGCGATTTTGTCACTGGTCTCCACGAGAAATTTCTACTTTGACTTACGGTCGGGGAAATATTTACCTGCGACAAAACGGGCGCGGCGTATGCAAGACGGGAGACCGGTGCGATGAGAGGTGTGGCGATCGGCGCTACCAGCGGCGCGAGCTTGGTGGTTGACGCCGGCGTTTTGATCTCGGAGACGAGGGTGAGCGGCTTGGGCGCCGCTTTCGGTGCGGGCGCCGAGAACGCCAGGCCGACGAGAACGCCGAGGAGGATCTGCAAGTAATCGTTTCGCGAGGGAGAACTCACTTGTCGGGGGATTATTGAAATTGGAAAACTTCGCTCCGCACGCGCCGGTGTAAGTGACTGAGGAAGAGAAGCAAATGAGTCTATGCGACGCAAATATCGCCTGGAAGGAAGCATCCCTCGGACGGTAGACATTTTTTCAGATATTTCTATTCACCCTCAGGGAAAATCAAGGGCAAAAGTAATACTTGATTCATTAGAATCGATACCTTCCACTTGCTTGCGTTAACGTTTTCTCCATCACAAAGTAAACACGTTCATTGGCTACGTTAAGGGACGGATAAGATTTAATTGAATTTCACGATTAAGTAGAAAAGTGAAATTAAGATCGCGAAATAATATAAAAAGCTTGTGAAAATTAATTTCTGTCACACTTAAAAATGTTATTTTTAACTTTTAGTTCTTTAGGCGTTCTTTTACGTTTAATTTTATTCCGTTATCTTACCCACATGTACGAAATAATGAAATTAACATCTCCTCAAACAAATTAACCCATTAGCTGCCACGATCCTCATTTGGGGATCAAAACAAAATATAATTTGAATATAATTATACTGTTACACAACTTTTTGTGCATATATATAACTTATCCGGCCAAAAATTAAAAAAAAAAATTTGCCAGTTAATGGGTTAAATTAAACGAAATACGAATTTATTTACAAATTGATCATAATTTGTGTGTTACTAAGAAAAGTGAGGAAATATCGACAAGCCTTAAAGTCGTCATCTTATCCCCCTTTCCTTGATTTACAAGGTGTAAATATTTAAAATGTTTCGTATATTTTCTTAAAAATTGCGGTATAAAATCGAAGGCGAAACAATCTTCAAGAAAACGTCGGGGATCCAAATAGGATTACGTTTCTCACTTCGAACTCGCGTAGATTTCCCAAATAGAATTCACAATTATCTCGGAAAATCAGATTCGTCGGGGAGTCGCAGATCTCACAAAATTGTTCTTACTTCCGGATGCGTCGTTGAAATTCGAGCGGACTCGATCGTTTACTTTTTACGGCTTTATCGGGTGCGTCGAAATTCGTCGCAACTGTACAAACCGGGAGTACATCGCCATCTTGGGATAATTAATGAATTTGCAGGATCGATCGGAGAGCGCGCTTTCCTCTTTCTCTCTCTCTCTCTCTCTCTCTCTCAAGACAGCGTAGTCGGGATTTACTTACGAATCGCAGCATGATGAGTCTGGGCGAGGTTCCTGCGCGGATGCACTTCTTCGCTTACGATACTTCGCGTCAGTGCGCGGCACCGGCCCGGCCACCCCGTACTTATAGAGGCCTCCGGGGGGATAAAGCCGTAAAAAGTAGACTCGTTCGGTACTACAAAAGTTCCTAACTGCTGTACCCGCTGCATTCCTCCCTGACTTCAGGGACGGACCCGGCCTCTGCTTGCATCCTCGACCACCAAACATGCACGCCATCCGCACGTGTGCATCCATTCAAGCTCACCCGACCCGCGGCTCTGTGTTTATAATACGCGAGCGCGGGGGATCGGCTTCGTTAGAATTAGACGAACGCCCGGACTGTGTGAGATTTACTTTACGGAATAATTGAGCGATATACTTCTTTCAAGCTTAGCTCGATTGAGGCCTGTCGACGATGACGGGAGATTCCGAGTCTTTTTGAATATCCGTCTGTTGCGAATGTTTCGCCGCCGAGAACGATGCTGATATTGTCGCTGGTGACGGTGACAAGGTGGTATTGTTTAACAACTCAGTCATCTTCGGCCCTCTCAGTCCATGTCGGAGACTTTTTCGCGCTGTAATTCGCCCGCATTCCGATAAATGTATGTAGCAGCGAGCTGCACGCGTTTCGCACACGACTGTACGATGGATCGACAAGAATAACGTCTCTCGTCCGGAGAAACGTTTCTCCCATTTCCTCCTGTTTCCTACCGTTTCGAGAAACGCGAGAGTCCTTCGACTTCGCATTTTTCAATTATCGATCCACGTACCTCCTCGAACGCGCGGCACGTACGTCCGCGCTGTAATTCTCCCGTCGCCATTTTCCTCGGCGTATATATCTCTGTATATATGTTTAAGTGCACACACACACACACACACACACACACACACACACACACATATATATATATATACATACAGGGTGTCTCAAACTAATTTCGGTTCCCGCAGTGTGCAGGTAGAAGGGGCGAAACTGAGCAGAAAGTCACGCGTTTGCAAAATTGCACTTTTTGCAAAATTCATAATAAACAATAAAAAATTAATTATTTCCTCTCGGCTGATGAACGGGAAACGGTAGGCCGAATTCTGTGTAAAAAGAAATAGTTTATTATTAATTCCTCGTTAACGATTGTGAATTTTACAAAATAGCGTCTTTTTCGTTCAATTTCACCTGTTTTATCCGCAAACCGCGGGTGTCGAAATTAGTTTGGCACACCCTGTGTATATATATATATTTTTTTTTTTTATTTATTTATTTATTTATTTACACACGCGTGTATGTGTACAGATACATACATATACGTGTAATACGTACATATATATACGGCACGATCGCCGGTTTCTCCAGGATGGGCGTGATTTAAGAAAGGGAGACGCAAGGAAGGTCCGGCGATAGGCGAACGCTCGACTCTCTCGGCCACCGAGAGAGAACGAACCGATGAGGCGCCATACCGTAGACCAGGAATACCGAGGTCATTAGCAATACTCACTCGGTTCGTTCACCCGGGATCACCTTGAGGATCCCCCGACGCGTGTACACACACCTTCGGCGGTCGGAATTGCGCGCCACCAGGTAATTTATATCGATGCACGGATCAATACTAGCGTAGGATCGCACGGAATATACGCTGACGGGATGATATTGTGCGGGTTGCGCGAACACAACCGCATCAGTTGTGAGAGACGATGTCAATAACGACGAGAGAAGAAGTGTGAGAAACGTGCGTGATAACGCAAACACGACATCGCAAAGAATGAACTCCCCCGAGACGTCGGAGGGAAATTCAGAAGAGGACATTCGGCAGGGATTCATTTTTGCTACGTCCCAACGTCTTTTCGACGTCTCGCTTGATTTTTGACCGAGTAGAATATTTGGCGGGATCTAATTGGGATCCACGCCCGATTTCTCCGTAATAATTGTGGATTCCAGTTGAGAATTCTACGTAGGTATGATAGATGTATCGGCGTTTCAAGCATACGATTCTAAACGAAAAACATAAACAGATACTATTTGGTGGTCTTGAATGATTTAAAGATTTCCTCGGGTTTCCATTTTACACTACGATCGAATAACATGTAAAGAATGACTTTAAGATCGATTTTTCTTCATTTTTGTAATAACGTAAAAATAATGATTAACTTTTTTCTAAGTAGCCAAAACTTTCTGTCTATCATCTGTACAAAATGAAAAATTTACAGATAAATTAGAATTCTTTTAAGTTAAAAATCGTTGAGAACGTATCAATTTTGTCATATTTCCCATGTATGTGTAAAAATGGCGAAGGTCGAAAGTAAATTTTTTTATGTGAGAAATAATTTTCACAAACTTTCTGCGTTCTTTTCTTACTGTAATATCTGTACAATACAATGAAATACAAATTAAATTATTATCTATGAGCAAAAAATATGATTTTTGATAATGCAATAACATGATAATATTGTTGAAATTCCAGAATATTATATTTCTGGAAGAAAATAATGTATTCTTGCTTATAGATGAAACAATGATTGCGTCTATTGCAACATATAAGTTTTGAATTTATACTTAATTTTTTCCCGTGTGTAATACGTGCAAATAAGCAAATAACGTTAAAGTTTGACTTGAATTATTTCAGCTTCGGTATAGTCGAATCTTCAGTCGAACGTGGCAAAGTAAGCCACTAAGTAAAACAGCGTACGGCCAATCAGTATCGCGAAAAAAAGGTTTCATCCCACGCTTGGGATAAGAATGGGATGCTTCCTAATATTGATATCGTAGTGGATAACATATTTTAGGACAACTTTAGATATTTTCATCAGAAGCTACGTTTTATACGGAAAAATGCCTGCACGGTACTCGAGGATGAGACGGTACGTCAAATAACGCACAAAGTCATTTTGTAACTTTCACAAATAATACATAAAAGAGGAACATGTTAAGGTGTTGCGTCAACATACGACCCTTTACAACGGGTTGCCTGCTGAAAGGCGCGCACATCCAGATGATAATTCCGGATTTGGCGATACAGTCACTTTTCTAACGAAATTCCAGGGTTCCTAGTTGTCATGACTTCATGATGATCGAGTCCGCGTCATGATCGATTACAAGCCGAGCTACATTGTACATATATAAAATATTTAAACATATAAATGTGAACAAGCATTGGCAAGAGCAATTTTGGAGAGTGATAATGGGTTGAAGAAGAAACAATGGAAGAAAAGAATGAATCTTACCGGCCTAAACATGACGGGTTTATATTCAGGAACCCGGAATGGAACTGAAAACCGTATGGAAATCGATATTTTTGTCGTACCGGAAGCGTAAACCGTACCGAAATTTTATAAAGCTTACAGAACTGAAATCAGAACCGTTACATATTTTTTTTCGGTTTGCGGCTCTTTTCAGTTCACTACTTCGGTTCTTATTCTGATTTTAAATAATCACTTTTTTTTTCATTTCGTAATAAAATTTTAGTTCTCACGAAAAAGTAGAACATCGATTAGTTATCGCGACGAATAGAAAATAAATTTCAAGCAAATACGATGTTGAAAAGAAGAGGATTAATAGACGAAGTAATGTATTACAATTTTGGGATAAATAGAAAGACAATCATCCTGAATTGTACAAATCACTCTAACGGAACATGTGTGTTCTGAAAAAGTTCGGAGAATATCGTGATATTTTCCGAATATTCTCAGAATCTACATAACTTATATATTCCATTAGGAAAAAGTTACAAATAACAAGGATAATATTATATCCAATTCCGGAATTATCCGGAATATCCGGAATTATCATATCCAAAAAAGTTGAGAGTAGAAAATGGAAATAGTGGAGAAAGGTTATCTACATCGAGGAAGTGATATTATTATTTTTTATAATATTTTATTGTACATATTATATATGTATATATATGTATATATACATAATTTAAGTCAATAAAAATTTCGGTAAGGAAACAAGTTTGAAGAACCAGAACTGAGAAGAAATTTAAGCGGTTTACCAGTACTTTCATTGTCTAGAAAACCGGAACCTTTAATAAATATTTTAATGGACCAGAACCAGACCGATATTTTCATTCGGCCCGGGTCAACCTTGGTTTGTTATCTTACCCACCTTTGATCAAGATCTGTGATCGATTCTGCACACAGACGGATCTGTAAACGCGTGCTTATATAGGCGAGCACTTCCGTGATCTTACGGTCTTCGGGAGGAGACCTTCGAGTCTACAGGTTTGCGCAATAAGAGCTCGACGTCCCCCGTCAGTTTGCGCCTCCACGAATGTGGCGATGAATATATTCGAAATACGCGAAGGCATCTACGGCGTTCTTGTCGGAAAGGCTGTGAATGTGTATATGCGCGTGCGGAACACGCCTTTCCGCGAACGTGTTTCGCGCGAGACGTGAAAAACTCTCTCGAGAAGGGAATAAAATAGAACGCACGAAAATTTTCAACATGTGCGAGAACGAGTTCAAATGTGAAAAAAAAGGGATCTAATGCGAGCAAATATCAAGGATACAAGTATCGAAAATAACTCCGGTGTAAAAACAGTAAGTATTAAAGATTGCGCATATAGCAAGATCGAAATGTTGCGAAATGGGTCGGCAGTGTATCACGAAAATCGAAGCGGATATGCGGATTATGTTTTTGTCGCTTGTTGGTTCCGGAAACGTTGAGCTTTTTATCGGCGTCGTGAAATTTTTGGAAGGCTTGCTCGACAAAGCTTCCGCGATCTTGAGACTTTGCTTTTTGGTCCTCACTTTTCAGTAACAATAAGCACTTACCACGTCGCAGAAGCGAGAAGAAATGGTGGCTCCTCGGCGGAAAAATACAAACGAGAACGCGCTTAATCTTCAAGATCGCGGTTATCCGTTTCTATTGGCTGTGCGACATTGGTAGTGGCGAATCGGACGAGAGCCGACGGTTGTAGCCGATGTGATCATTGTGTTGTATCTTGGAAACGATCCTGATAAAATTATATATGAAAAATGCGCAAAGAGAATCGCAAAGGGAATCATAAAGAGAGAATCGCGAAAAACTAAAAATTAATTAAGACGAATTTAGTAAAAATTATAAAAAATTCTTATGATATTATTAAAATTTTATTTTTAATCATTTAAAAAATGTGTAATAAAATCGAGTATAAATTTAATCGAATAAAACAAAATTCAAAAAGAATGTATTAAATAAAAATTCTAACAAAAAGATCTTAAAAGGAAAAAATATTATTAAAAATACCTGAAATATAAAATCGTGTGTGTTATTTCCAAGATTAATTTTGCTTAAAAATAGACACGGGATTTAATGCAATTTAATAAAAAATCAATGAAGACTTTAAAAAAGCAATTGAGATAAAATTATATTTGACAACTATTTTTAACAGAAATAATATCGGGAGATAATAAGCTTTACCTTTACAGAGGAAAAATATAATTTATCATTCTATGAGAAGCAATTTCCGGATTATTTTCATTTTACTCGCAATTTTCCTCTTAATGTAGGTTGCCGTCGTGCGTAAAGATTTAATTTGTAAGATCGAAAGATTCAATTTCCAACGCCCACACATATGTATTTCCCGCTCGTGATCGTCCTCCGACGTGAATGAAACACGCGAATCGATATACCAAAAATTGACACATCTGCTACAGACGTATCATGTGAAGTGACACGCACATTCGCCAGTTTCCGGGCGTGTCGTTATATCGAATAATACATCAAACTCTTCCCTCCTCCGCGCGACGGAAACTTTTTTCAAGCCCCTTGATAAAAAATTTACCAAGTTAGGCTCATGAAAAGTACATGGGGCGGGTTTGTATGTTTCCCGCAAATATATTCGATACGTGACCCAACGAGCGGGTCGCGAAGTTTCGCCGGCGAGTGTCGGGAAAGGACTAAAGCCGAAACTCAAACAACCGTTGATCGCCAAGTCGGTAAACACTTTTCATCGAGTCGTTCCAAATCCTATTTTGAGAAAAGCCTCACGTAAACGGGTAGGTAGATAGGATAGGCTATATACAGTTAGATATCGTAGATGGATATACGGGCGTGAGTTTGTCCAAATAAAAAGAAAAAAATAAACTATAAGAACGAGATCACTTCGTGATCACGATGCTCCTCGCGTTTGCTTCCCGGTCGTTCGTGCGCGAGAGGAGAAAAAGTCTGAATTCTCCGGCGAGACGCATGCGAGAGGGAAAATCTGCGATCCTCCGTAAACCTCGGACTCGGTACGTGATATGTAGAGAGGAATTAACCTTCTCGGGAGGTGTGCAACGGCTTGGGAATTCGGGAAAGTGCTCGTGAATGCAACGGTGCGCCGGTGGAAACTCGTCGAGAGCTTCGATTTCGACAAACGTTCGATTACGTTTTCGACTAACTACACGAAGACAGACAGATATAGATAGATGGATAATCAGGGAACATTTTTGCAACGAGTGTCGGTGATGGATTACCTTACACGTATTTTGCTACCATCTTTGAAGTAAAAAAGGATGCAGATCGAAGGCGAAGGTAAATAATAAATCAAGATACAGAGAAAAAAAAACAGTTTCCGTCAATCAAGGTTGTGACTGGCGGTGAAAAGTGGATGTATTATAATAATGCTAAGCGGGAAAAAATCACGGGTGGATCCAAGACAACCATCGTCATCATCGAAACGCGATATATATTCATGGAAACGAGATTGTGCTCTGTATTTGGTGGGATTATGAAAGCGTGTTGTGTATTACGAGCGTAGCTGAGACCAAAAATGAAACAGTTACGGCTGGTCGTTATTCACAACAATTACGCAAATGAAAGCAAGCATCGAACACTAAATGACCTCCCGACCGCGACTGAAAGACGCAAGACGTTTCTTTAGCGCGACAATGCCGGGCGACGTGTCGCTGAGTCCGTGAAAGACAAGTCACTGAAAACTTGAATGACAAGTCTTACCGCAATATTTTCCAGACATTCTGCCGTCTGATTGCCATGCCAATCGACGCTCTCCAAGCTAACGAACTTTCGAAATTTGAAGAAATAACAAAAATACATCAATAAATGTATCGCCTCCAATCCTAAGATTTTCTTCCACCCGATGGAATCCATTTGTTGCCGGGAAAGATGGGAGTTAGTTAATTGCAAGCTATGGGAAATATTCCGATTTAAATCCCGAACGCTCCAGTCAATAATCTCGCATCCAGCGAGTTGCGAGGGACGAGGTAGTTAGGAGGTCGCTTGAGAGACGAAAGAAACAAACGGCCGGCATATTTACGTAAAGGCAGAAATGGCGGTTTTATTGATCAATCGGTAGCGATCGGTCGTTCGACCGTCTGAGCTGGTACAACAAGGTTGCGATGCGGATGCTTCGGCCGACCGGTCGTTCCGATGAACCATCGCGCGTGGTGTCCTCAACATCGTCGGCTCGAGAGAGAGAAAGAGAGAGAGAGAGAGACGTCCCTTTCAGTGAAGAGCGACGACGGGTGCGTGGGCGGCGTAGGCGAGCGGTGCGTGAGCGACGACGGGTGCGTGAGCGACGACCGGTGCGTGAGCGACGACCGGTGCGGCGACGACCGGCGCGGCCTTGACGATCGGCGTGGCGTAAGCTGCTGCCACCAGCGGGCTCTTCACGGAGACCTTGTAGGTGTTGGCGTAGCTGGTGGCGACCGGGACGGTGTGGGCGATCGCGACCGGCGCCGCGACGACCGGCGCCGCGTGGAGGCCTGGCGCGATGTAACCTGGCGCAGCTGCGGTGCAGGCCAGCAGCCCGGCGAACAGAGCGACGAACTTGTACATTGTTGCGGCTTCTTGTCGACGATGGATGAGAGGGAGAGAGAAGAGACGCTTGCTCGCTTACTTCGGTGCTCGGAACTGCTGAGGAGCGAATGATGCCTGGACACATCGTCCAGGACCCTTTATATCCGCCGGGGCTGACCTCCCCCACCGGTCACCTTCCTTCTGCTCTGTTATTCGTTTTTTGCACGCCCCTCGCAGGAACACTGTCAAGGACTGCCGTTCCCTCTACCAGCCGGACCCTTCACCGCGTCTGGAGAGCGCGTCGCCTTCGTGCTCCCCAGCCTCGACGAGAGAGAGAGAGAGAGAGAGAGAGAGGGACGATGAGCGTCGGTGATCGTTTTGTTTATGCAGGAAGGTCGTCGCACGGGATCGAAAGGGCGCTCTTAGCGTCGCTTCACCTCGCTCGACCTTACCGGGCCTTCCTTTGTGCCTTCGAGTCTCTCGATGGCCGGGGGTTCAGTGACACAGCCTCGGCTCAGATCGATCGTCTTACCAAACGATTGACATGTCGCTACTCGCCGATCGTAGATTATTATCGAGTTTTTTATTATTTCGGCTGATACCGTCACTTTCGCCCGGCCCTTCGACGGCATGATTGATCGCCGTGGAACCCTTAAGTCTGTAATGAGGATTTAAGGCGTGAGAAATTGGCCAATCACGGCCGGATTATAGAGGAAAGGTCAATGGTGATTGGTCGGTTTCTAAAATTTCACCGCCTTGCGTCATTGTAGATTCCTCCGCTTTGAGGAACGAACGAGTCGGATTATTTGATTTCGTCGTCATGTCGTCGATAACGTCGGGTCCCTTTTGCAGCCGCTGCACATGTCGCCGCTTGATATTCGGATAATTGAAATGCACGCCGGCCGGAATCTTCCCGTTGAAATGGTGAAACCGGACTTCACAAAGGACGCTTCACACGGTTGTTTGCCCTGACTTTGGTCGTTTAGGAGGCCGACGCTTCTCTTCCTCTTTGCGCCTCACCCCATTTTAATGCTTATGAATTGCGACGATTTACGAGCCGGGTTGCCTTGCTCGCGGCTCTCTCTCTCTCTCTCTCTCTCGGCGGTCCCGTGGTTTTATTTTACAGGACACGAGTATACTTCGCTTTTAACAGGCGAACAATGTATCCTTTTTCCCTCGTACGCTCGTGTGCGCAGTGTAATTCGCTGGCGAAAATCCGCGATGCGGATGTCCCCGATGATCTCTGCGAGAAAACAACACGCGCGGAAAATCCGACGCCTTCTTCCTCCTCGGTAGAAATTATTCTCCCGAGCGGTTGTTGAAATCTTTCAACATTTTTTTCTACCGTAATCTTGGAATTTCCTCGAGTGAAATCGAATGGCAGCCGCGAACTTCACTCGAATTCGTTCGTACGCTCATACAGAATGAGAATTCACACTGAATTTTTTTCCACTCTTTTGCACTTTTTTCACAAATCAAAGAGCGCACCTGACATGCACGAAGAGTCGTTGACACCCGGTTAACACCTGGTTAACACCTGGCCATTTCCTAGATCGCGAGTTTAGAATTTTTGAGCTTATATTGATACGCGTAAAGTTGAAAATCGTAAAAGAATACACGGGGAGAAAAATATATAAGGAATAAAAAATATTTATGCGCGTAAGGGGGAAAACGGATCATAGGTCTATTATAAATGGAAGAAGAAGAAGAAGAAAATATTTATTCGGTGAGTAAATATTTATTGAGTAAGGCTGCATCCCGAGAAAGTTATGCTGTGTATTCGGAAGGGTGTGGTGATACTGTGAGCTCCTTCCAAAGAACGTACGGCTTAATTCGGAGTACTGTGGATTGCCTAATTGGACGAACTGAAAGAAGCCTTCGCAGGGAAACGCTCAAAACTGATCAACAAAAAAGGACGTTTAATTCCATCAGGATAACGCCAGACCGCTTCCTTGACTATTCGGGAAAAAAATATCGCAACTCGGCTGGGATGTTTTATCACAATGTATTCACTAGACATTGCTTGTCCCGATCCTTGCGGAACTTCCTTAATGGTAAGACGGGGTTCACTTCTTCGGAGAACTGCAAATTCTTCGCTGAAAAAAGAAACACCCGTATTATACGCGCGAGGAATTATGCAGCTGCCTGAAAAATGGCCGAAAGATTGTAAAAAAAAAAAAAACGACGGCCGTTACATTACTCTGGTCGAAGTTGTTTTTAAATACAGATAAACTTCCTCCAGTTTCGAGCTAAAAATACGACGTTACTCCCCTTCCAATATCACATCGATTCGTGTATTCCACCGTTATAAAAATAAATTCTCTCTAATTTCATGAAACACTTACTCGTATGGATTGAGACTCCGCTCCGAGTTTGTTCCGAAATATTCATTTTCGTTATTCCGAGAGGCGGTATTTCCACCATCGTGTTGAATGAATTAGCCGATCGTTTGTCTCGTGCGCGATTTTGCTCCAATAAATTGAGAAAGGGAGCATACATTATCGATTTATCACTCATCGATTATTCTGGGAAACGTCCTGTTTCTCTTCGTCCCTCATTAGACATACAACAAGGATAGAGTTACTCGTTAGCTCTGATCAGCGCCAATGTGCGGCGCTCCTCGAGCACAGCCTGCGATATTTTTCACGTGAACGTCTGGAAAGGAACGTCTGGATGGACGGATTTGAAATACCTTATTAATTACACTGTGTTAAGGCGTGGGTTAAGGTAATTTTATACCGATGAGAAGTCGATCGAATTTCATCCCCGTTTTTCATTCCGGAGGAAATTTCTCCCAATTCCCGTGCTGTCAACGCTCTCCTCCCGACAAGATAAAGTATTAACGACAGGATAACGCGAACCAGATACGGTTGTTATTCGCCTACGTGCGGGCGAGACCGGAGCCGATGGAACAAGCGGCTTATCGGGCGAGGAGGGAAAGCCCAGGGGGGGGCAAGGAGGGATGTAAGCATTGTGACACGAGTCGCGAAAGTACACGCTCGACTTACTCAATTTCGCGCGACGTACTTCGCATACGATAACGACGAGTACGAAACAACGGAGCGTACGGAACGTGCGTACGGCGCGTGTCTCCATTTCTCTCGGGCGTGTGTTACGCAGATCGAGCGTTGCGCAATCGCGCATCGACAATGACGACGCGTGACAATTCGTCGTCGCGCTGACGAAAATCCAACCGATGCCAAACGGAAGCCGGCCGGCGACGGTCCCGGCTTAGAAGAGCCGGTCTATCGACTATTTCTCCCTCTCTCTCTCTCTCTCTCTCTCTCTTTTTGTTTGTGCTGGTTCTATTTTTTGGAGAACCTTTAAAATCGTATAGAATTCTGTCGAATATTTTACAGATTTCATTTTTAACGATTTTCTTTCACATGGATTTGAAATTCACGATACATCAGACGGGAAAGAGAGAGATAGAGAGAGAAAGAAGGAGCGCATTATAGCGCGGTAGATTTACATATTTAATTTATTATCAAGTATATATATCGACGAATAGTTTAATTCTAACTGGCGAGATCGAACTTCGCGAATTTTCATAACCGGATATATTGCGTAATTATATGTGCTGCATTCATAATTAATGGTTAAGGAATTAAAGGTTCGATCTGAACTTAACTTGGATTCGATTATTGGATTTAGTTTAGGATTTAGGTTTAGCTTAGATTTGCGAGTTCAAATTAACTAATTTACAGCTCGATTCTTTTTCTTCCCGACTCTACTGTGCATCTTCCTCGTCCTCGGAGGGCTCGCTCTAGGATGTGATAAACGCTGCTGTCCTCTCTCTCTCTTTCTTTCTCTCTCTCTCTCTCTCTCTCTCTCTCACTACTCCCCGGTAAATCACACGATAAAGTCCGTCTAACGAACCACACTATATCAGTTTAAATTCGCCAATTAGAACACAAATGTCGTTCTGACCGATTAAAATTGAACGATCGCGCCACATAATAGGTCTAATCGAGATTCATAATACATCAGACTGGAAAGGGGGAGAGATAGGGAGAGGAAGAAAGATTGTATATAACGCGGTAGATTTACATATTTAATTTACCATCAAATATATACCGACGAATCGTTTAATTCTAATTGGCGAGATCGAACTTCGCGAATTTTCATAACCGAATATATTACGTAATTATATGTACGGGGCTGCATTCATAATTAATTCCTCGTGCGATGAGGATTATCTGGGCTTGAAGAGAACGCTATTGTTCGATACCGTTTGAAAAGGAAAAGCCTGTGCGATTAGTCGAAAATTAATACATTTGATTGACGGCGATAGCCGACTTGTCAATCATCATCCGGCGCGGTGACACAATCTCGCTCTCGCCCGCCGATCCCACTTCCCTTCCTCCCCCTCTCTTCCTCTCTCTCTCTCTCTCTCTCTCTGTGTATGCGTGTGTGTACGTATGCGTGGATAAGCGAAATTCACGGATCCGGAAGACCTTGGCCGACGGGCGTTCCCGACATCGCGCGAGTAGGCGAGCAAGCGAGCGGGTAACAACAAAGCAAAGGGCGGAGAACCAGTTTCTCACCGAGGGGGCTTTCGGCTCTATAAAAAAGGTGCGGCACGGATCTCCGATATCAGTCGTCGGGGAGCATCATCGCCTGGTAGAGCTTGAGTCACCCCCACGGGCTCTGACCAAGTCGAGCGAAACCTCGTCCTCGGTTCAATGTTCCGCCGTTCTTCTTCTCACCTGCCGTCAGCCGCTGAAAGAGCCGCGGGGCGGCCCCGATGTGAGTCGGCCAGGATCGCCCTGACGGATCGTCCTTTCCTGGAAAGGGAAATTCTGATTTTCTGACGTTACGTTGAGAAAAGAGGAGGGGGGGAGATAACATAATAAATCTTATTCGATTCTCTATGTCGACGTCGATATGTTACGTCATTGACGTTCGTCGTCGTCGTCGACGCGCCGTCGGGACGCTCGTTGATGCGTTCGAAACGAGATAGACATGGTATCTCGCCGAGCGAGAAGTAATCCTCTTACCTGTACTTGGGAGGATGGCGGGGGCCTCAAAGGGAATTTTAATGCCGGCCTACGGCCGAACACTCAAGTTACGTACAGAACTACGCGCGCGCGCGCGCGCTCGTACATAAATGAAGAGATCCCCACCGGCCGCCTTCACTTCTCGCCGGGCCGTGACGATGGCGCAATTTTGCGATACTCATCGAAGTTACTTGTAAGAAAAACTATTTTTGATCAGGCATTTTCTCTTCTCGAGTACGGTCTTTGTATTCAGCGCGTCTCGAAGCGTCGGATTGCCTTCGTAATATTATTGTTATCGTTGTCATTGTTGGAGCGTTATTTATTCGGAGAGGGATCCCCTCAAAATCACGATGAGTACGTGTTTAAATTCATATAAATATAGTGTATGTTGCGATTTGTATTGAAAATGTCAACGTGCGTTTATGAGACTTGATAAGAAGAAGCGAGAGAGAGAGAGAGAGAGAGAATCAAGAAAAGACGGGTAAAGACACACATGGAGAAAAACGTAGAAAATTATGAAAACTATAATAACTATGTAATCTTATAGTTTATCTGGTCAAGACCACGTTGTGCCCAGCAATTAGGATTCATTTTTATTGCGCAAGATACACATACGACCTTTAAATTCGTCAATAATATAGCGTGTGTTCCTTATTTGATGACGCAAGTTGACAGAAACGTCATCCTACTTCTCTCACTCATTGAATATGAAATTAGGAGACAAAATGATGCTTATCTCGACTCGCATTACGTTAAACGGAGAGCGGCTGGTAACGAGTAATATAGTAACAGTAACACGATAGAGAATATATATATATATATACACATATACACATACTAATAATAATAATAATATATCGAGTTCGCAAGGTTGACACGCACATACACGCAGAAAGTCGCCTTCTTTCGCGACCTTCCCGTCGTTCTTTCTTATACTTCATCAACCGGGCATCGCTCATCGCTCGGAGACGTCGCTCAAAGTCACTTGGCGAAATCAAGGTGATTTGATCGTTGCGAAACACGGGCTCTCTCATTACGAACTGCATTGCTAAACACGCTCTGAGCGGCATTCGATAATTGATGGGACATCCACGTCACGTTCACGTTCAGTGGAATCGGTACGAGCTACTTGCTCGACGATAGTGCTATTACGTTATTGCGTTTATATTCGCTTTACAGCGCGAAATAAACGAGACACGTTGATCACGTTGCATCGACTGAGGCCGTACGAGTAGCGGAATCCTTCTTATCGGTTTCTGTTTTACGACGTGTATGCGTGGATATCTCGTAAATGAATGAATGCGTTCAAATAAGAGGTTCCGATCTTTCAATTATTGATTTAGTTATCGCTAGAAGCGTAGAAGCCACGATGTCAAGGAGTAGCATCATTGATTGCATGAAAATTTCAACTCGGACATGGACTTTCAATTAGGAAGGCTTGGTATATCGCGGATGACGAGAGTGAGAAAAGGTCTTCCGGGCCGACTTGATCGCCATCGACTCCGAAAATGGAGGAAAAATCCATTTTCGTTTTCCGGCACGTTTCACCGTCGAGGACGTCGTCGCGTTTCACTTCTCGCTCTCGACGGTCCTTCGTCTCGTCTTATCGAGAATGGGTCTCTGGGTGGAGTCAAAGTGGCGACGACCCTGTTCCAATAAATCTGGAGCACGATCGCGTGCAACGGATAAGCGAGAGAGTAAATAAATGAATAAGCGACTGTCCGCCGACGACGTCGTAATATTTCACCAAATTTCGCCACTGTGCGCGGCGAAGGGCGATGACGAGAAGAATAACCGAGAAACGCGGCTAACGGTGGTCGTCGTCTTGATGTACAGGTCGTCCCAAAGCCGCCGGATGTCCTTCCGACTGCAGCAGTATTTCTTCCGACTCCAACGTTGATTTTCAAATTCTCAGCGATAATGTCTACGTATCGATAGCTTTCGCAATTAAAGAGCGTGGATAAAGAATGCCTCTTCCTCCAAACCAATCTCGGGACAAATAAACGACGATGTTGAATTGACTTGATTTTCCCGACGACTAATATTCTGGCGCTGACGCAGCTTTGATAGTCAGAGAGAGTGGATAAGAGACATTTTCTTCTCTGAGTGAACTTCAGACAGCGACATCGAATTCTTGACGAAAATTTCGGGGCATCCGCTGCTTTTATCATTAAAAAGCGTGGCTAAAGGACGTTTCTTTCTTCCGAGTAGGATTCGGAACAGACATGTTGAATTGATTTGATCTTCGACGGAAATGACGTCGATAAATTTTACGGGTAATTAAAGAGCGCAAAGATAAGGAACGTTTTCTTCTCTGGATAAACTTTAGAACAAACAGACGAGAATGTTGAGTTAATTTGATCCTCGACGAAAATGCATCGACAGCTTTCATAAATAATTAGGTCCTTCGAAAAAAATGAAGGATCTGCGATTTTCTCTTTTGACCAGATTTCAAAGACGGATAAGCGACGATATCTCCTGTTCGTAAATTTGACCATCTCATTTTGGCACTGTAATCCGATTTGTTTCCGAAGAAGTGTAAAATTAAGAGAGAGAGAGAGAGAGAAAGTGACTCTCCGTCCGAGTTAAATAAGGAAATTACGATTGAAAGAGCATTTGATAATTCTGAGACATCCTGTATTCGTCGACGCCGCATCGCCGTGCGAATGAAATTCGCGTGAAACGAGAACGCATAATTTGCCGAATATCTCTTTCATCGATCTACCTCGAACAGAGATGTTAACGTTTACGGCCAAGTCAAATTGTTCTGTAAACAGTTTGCGCGGTTAACTCGTCGCATATATCATTCTGATAGCGCAGCCTTATTTTTATCCGGCGGAATAATCTCGTCGCGCGATACTCTGAGGAGTTAGTAATTACATACGTCGAGACAGGTTGTGAGCGTCACCTCACGATCGCGAGTGTCTGATTAAAAAGTTATTTAAAATAATTACACATCTATGTAAATCATCTGACATTCACATAAATAATAAAATATCCGAAGGGAAATTACTCGTCGACGGGGAAAGCGCTCGAAGAAGAAGAGGAACTCGAAGAACCTCTCTTACGTTCCACCCCACCTCGGAATATTTAATTATTATCCGTACTTATCGAAACGTGCGATCAAGTGTCGTAAAGATCAAGCAGGCAAGTTTCAATCGTACATTGCATCAAGCGAGCGCGTTATTACGTAAAGCGAGCTCGTACGCGTTGTTACATAAAATCGAAATTCAAGTTACCACGCTGAAGTAAAAGGACTACGAAGATCGATCGGGCCCGGTAAACAAAGTTCGCAGATGCCCGCCTCAGCCTCGATGCCTCACTTCCTCTTCATTTGCGAGCAAACAACTATTAATATATACTAATAATAAACTATTATACAGGGTGTCCCAAACTAATCTCGGTTCCCGTGGTGTGCGACTAGAACGGATGAAACTGAGCAGAAAAGTATTCGATACCATTTCGCAAATAACACGCAAACTGTCGAGTCATTGATTGAAGAAGCCTCTACAAATTGTCAATCATCGATCACTCGAAATTTCCCGTGTTATTCGCTGATAATCGCACCCGAATTTTTCGGTTTCACCCGTGGGAAACCGCCTGTATAATAAACCGTTAACACGCGCGAAGACTTCGCGGGGACTTGAACGCCGGAGCGGAGTGAGAAATGCGTGCGGTAAGAAACGGGGACGGCGTAAAAGATGAGAAAGTGTATTATAAACATCATGTACACAGCTGATGACAGAGTCGGTGGCGGAGTACGCAGCCGTCACGATCGAGTTCGCCGAAGAAATCCAAATCTAATGATAGTATCCGCCGTATCCGCCGTATCCGCCGTAGCCACCATGGCCGATTCCGTAGCCGTAACCATAACCAAGACCGTGTCCGAGTCCGTATCCGAGGGCGCCGGTGTAGACAGAAGGTGGAATCGTGTACCCGTAGTGGCCGTAGCTGACCGCCGGGGCCGCGTAAGTGACAGCAGGTGTAGCGTAAGCGAGCTTAGTGACGGGCGCGTACGCCACCTTCGCGTAGGCAGGTGCGATGTACTTAGCGACGGACGGGGCGACCGCCACCTGGAGGAGAGATGATCATTTCGCTCTTCGTCGATCCCAGGGGGATTGTTTTCATCACTGAGAATCCGCGCGATTCTCACATCTCGTGCGAAAAACACGGCTGGACATTTTTCGAGCCCGATCGGAATGACAGCGAAATTTACTCTTGAACTGTGTGAGTTTCAAGACGGTTCGCACGCCTTTTTTCTTTCAGTTTGAAACACAAACGACGGTAGGATGAGAGACAACTCGCCTTTTGAAATAAGGACTTCTCGTTGGACCGTCGATTATGTTCCAAACGGAGAAAACAGTCGGTGGCTGAAAACAACGTCGGGAGAAAACTGTGTTGAAACCGGGTACCGGAAACCGTGCCGAAATGTTGTAAAGCCTTGAAATTTTACAGAACCGAAATCGGAGTGTCGTTAAATTTGTTTCCGGTTGATTATTTCGGTTCTCATTCTGTGACTTGAAATCGTTATTTTTGTCATTTCGTTATAAAACTCTGGTTTTCGCGAAAAAGTAGCACATTGGATTAATAGGAGAAGTAACATATTACAATTTCAGGATGAATAGAAAGACAATCATCCCGAATTGTACAAATTATCCTAACTGCTAATACAATTTCTAGTAACTTATCGTTCAACAATAATCAACGAGTTAATCATTTTCATTTGCATAGACATAGAGAGCAGGAGACATTTGAGACTAACGGAAACTTTAAATCGTCGATTAGCCGAATCGGACGAAAGTCATTCCGATATGGTCTTTACGTGAAATCCACGGAGAAAACAAGTTTTCCCGGAACAGCAGAAATGATCTGTTAATCTACTGACAGGGAAAAAATTGGTTACACGGAAAAGATAATTTTGCTGTTGTAGAGAAACGTCGTTACGGCAAGCAATAAAATTTCAATCGGCGTGACCAAATTATTTTGCTCTCCGTTTAACCAACAAATAATAATTAATATTTTTAACAAATCTTTCTGCTGTCGAAACAAATTTTCTGTCGCTACATTAACGAACAATTTGCCGTTCTAGCAAAATATTTTCCCCGTGTATTCTTCTACTTAGAACGGATTAGAAAAAACTAGGTAGTTCCTTACTAGCGAGGCGAGTCAAAAAGATATCTAACGAGGAGCGAATCATTATCGATGTGTTGTTCCTTTCGCTACGCGCGATGACACCGAAAGTGACGTTACGCCTTTGCTAATTAAGCCATTGTCTGGGCGCGTCCGTGCCGATGATCCTTCACGCGTGTCGTCCGCGTTTAAGAGAGCTTACCTTGTACGTATTGGCGTAACTGGTGGCAATTGGAGCGTGTGCGTATGTGAGCGCAGGTGCGATCGCCGCTACTCCACCGTGACCCAAGCCGCCGTAGCCGCCGTAGCCGTAACCACCGTAGCCATAAGAGCCGCCGTATCCGGAGTAGAGGCCGGCGGATGCGTAGGCGACGGTGCCAAGGAAAATGATCTGCGGTAAAGTGTGCGTGAGAATGATCACGCTCGTATTTAAGCCGGTTCGTAAATTAACCGGGGGGGAATTCGCAAAATTTCGCGCGCTGCGACTCGGCTGTGCGACGTATTTGTGTGATATGGGAAATATATTTGCAAAGGGCCAAAATCAGAATCGTATCTGTATAATTATATCATAGGTGTGTGTGTGTGTGTGTGTGTGTGTGTGTGTATGCGGGAGGTATATTTTTGTTCGGAGAAAAGACGTTGTGTGGTTGGTATAGCGAAAGATTTAACCCAGGAATGGTTCTTCTTTTTTTACGTAAAGTCACCTGAGGTCATTTTAGACTCCACTTAAAAGTCGCTATTATTCATCAGATATAGCACACTGTCGATTGTTCGGTGATTTATTATTATTTGGGGACATTGTAGATGTTGATTAATTCGCTACTTTTTGAAAAAAATAAGTGAGGAGAAAGCAGGAAAATATTTGAGAAACGGAATAAGTACATTAAGTGTTTTATTATGATAGTATTTCTAATGAATGCAGATTTTAAGAAAAATGAAGAATTTAAAAAAAACACTGTTTTATTGCTCATTTTCGATGTGATAACATATTTAAAAGTTTGTAAAGAATAATTACTAGAAAAGATCAGAAATATATTAAATAACATTCATTTTATAAGACTTACAGCAAGGCTAAATCGCGATCATGCAGAGTTATTAGATTGATTGATTCAGCATTATAACAAAAATTATTTAGTTTTACATTTCTTTATTATATTACACAGGATGTCCCAAACCGTTCTCGGTTTTCGTGGTGTGCAGGTAGAACAGGTGAGACTGAACAGAAAAGTCACAGTAGCATTTTGCAAAATTTGCAATAGTTAGCGAGGAATTAATTATTTTGTCCGAACTAATGAGCGCACGGGAAAGGGTAGACCTCGGGCATTGTATTAAAAAATGGCTTACTTTCGAAGCGATTTCTGCAATGTGAATTTTATTTTCTGACCGCTGGAGTCTGAAATGATCCCGGGTGACTGTTTTCGGATTAATAACGTGCTCTTCTCTCAAGTTTTTTCTACGATGAAATCCAGAGCGATGAAAAAGCAAACTGGAGAAGTACAATATAAATTATAAAGAGCGACGGAGAAGTAAACGCAGAAAGAGAGAAAGAGAGAAAGAGAGAGATGAGTTACAAGTTACGAGTTATACGTCAAGAAACGTAAGTATGTGAAAGTAAAGTTGAAAACTGGAAAAATTCAAAGACGAATGCGCGAGATCGTCGAACGGGGCGCGCGCGAACCTTATATTTCGCACAGTTGTGTGCAGCCTTCGGCTTGATTTATGCACGTCCCAGGATGATTTCAGCCGCATGTATGTAATGCGATATGAATGAAATGACGAGCGTATTCCCCGGGTGCGATAAAATCGCGCCCGCGGCGCCGAGTAAAGTTCAACCGCACGTGTTACCGCGGATCGTCCGTTGCATTTCTCACGATATTGCGAGTATCTTTCTTCCTCCCTCCCCTACCCCCTCTCTCTTCCTCCTTATCACTCTCTTCCCCCCCCCCTCTTCCCAAATAATCTATGATAAGCTCTGCTCTCCCGATAAGAGGAAAGTCGTAAGGGGCCAAATATCATCCTCGAAATATGAACATCCTTAGATTCCCCCCACACACACACACACACACACACATCCGCACACACAGACCGGATGATCTCGCGCACGAACCGCGAGTAACTGCATTTTCGGAGGAGACGAAAGGAGAACAGAATTCACGGAGGGAGCATAAAAGACGCGTAAAGAACGCCGGGGATATTTTCCGAACCACTTATGCGCCGTTTTGATAAAAATCGCGCCGGTATCTGCGCGACCCTTTAGGAAAAGTTTCAACGGCGGTCGTTCGCTCACCCTCTCGCACGAAAAAGAGAGAGAGAGAGAGAGCGCGCTTTACTCACCAACTTGAACATGTTGCTTGCGGGCGCTTGCGAGATCGTCGTTATATTGCGACTACAGTCTCGCGTACCCCGCCGGATCTCACTTATATATCCTCGACTCGGATTGTTTTTACGCGTCACGCGTTCCGAAGGAGCAACACGGCAGCGAGAGGGAGGCAGAGGCGTGATAAAGTTTTCCTCATCCAACGGATAGTGGACGAGAGGCGAATTCGCAGGTGAGCCACCAGGTGGGGCGGGGTGGGACTCGGTTACGTGTTCACCTAGATCCTAGATCCTCGCGAAGGACGAAGCCATTATTACACCGGCCGGCCGGGGGGAAGAAAAAAGAAGCGTGGACGTTCGATTCCATCGTGAGAAAAAGCGCGTGAAGCCACCTTGAGCGCGTGAGAGAGCGCTAGGGGGGGGAGGGGGGAGAGGGGGGAGGAGAGGAAAGCCGTTGTTGCCGTCGAGCCTTTCGTTTCCTTCGTCCCTTGCCTTGTCGTCAACGACGAGCTGTGTGTGACGCTCAATCGCTTTCAGGTAATTATTCGCGCGTCTATGATCTTGTCTGTGCTCCGCGAAGCGTGAACAGAGCACAAGCACGGGAACCTCGACCGATCGAATGTGGCACGCAGCGGTGTGGAAGCGGTATCGAACGGCACCGGCCTCTACGTTTCTTTTACACATATCATTTTCTATACGCGCCCTCCCCATGTTTCTCTCGGCACGGCGCCGGCTTTTGCATTTATTATGCGTATCTTATAAATTATTATGTGTTTCCTCTTACCGTGCTCTTATATAAATCTATTTTTTCTCGTTTTTTTTTTCTTTTTTACGTAGCTCCCACGCGTATTTGTCGCGTTCGAGGAACAGGCGCCTTGAAAATTTGTCGTAATTTTGTTGTAATGTTACGTTCGGATTTTCGGATCTAATCTCCGTTATTTTTTTTAACTTTCGCACGACTGGGTTCGTTATATTAGCTTATCGAAGGTGTAATTGTATTATTGTTATCGATAAGAACAAGATATCGTCACTACTGAGTCTAACTAACTACGTTATTGAAGAAAGAATAATTTAGAACTGTGACAGTGCCACAAAAATAATAATGTCAATGAAGTTACTTCTCATTACATTGGAAAAATTATCTAAATCGTATCAGTCGTCCGAATTCTACCTCTGTCTCGGCATTTTGTTCTGTAATTATTGGATATAAACGCGATCCAGCTGCTAAATGTATTAAATCAATAATCAGGAATATGAAAAATCAATGATAATCCAAATTTAAACTAATTACGTTATATGCTTTCTGTGTGATATAAACAGTTTAAAAGTACCGTAAATAATGCGATTTTGTCAATTCATCCCTACATATTCGTTATTCATTAAAACATTGAAATTATTCGTTATCGTCATCATTTTGGAAATTATCACCGCTCATTTTGGACAAATTATTTCGTTACCATTATCATCACTCAAAAAGTAACGAATCGTTGGTATAAAAACTGATAATTTCTACTATTTTCTCCCGCTAAGTTTTGACCGTCCTTTCATATGGTTCGCTGCAGTCCATCCTACAATCTGTGTCTCGTTTATGCAAAGTAACAAAAAGAGTAACAATTACATTCATTATCATTGCTATAGTTAACAGAAAAAGTAATAGCATTATCAAGTCATCGCTGAAAAAAGGATCTTACAACGGTAATAGTAGCCTCCTTACTCCGTAATGACAATCTCGTTATCGTTAACGCAACTGTTGCGTAACTATCACGTGATACATTTTATATGCGCAAAGATTTGTAACGCATTGCGTTGGAATTCGCGGAATAACGGAGCGGACGAACTTTCGTTTCCCGAGCTTTTGCAATTCTTATTATTGCACGTACTTTTATGTTTACTTTAACGTGCTTTTACGTAGATTTTCGATGCCTATATTACGCGCCTCTGCTCCGTACTCTCTCCGTCATCGAGATAATTGCATCGCTCCGCGCCCCGAATCGATCTCAATGATTCGATCGAGGATGAATGGGTGTGTCAACGCGAGTGCCGCTTCCGGTCGCTCCATCGGAGAAAAAATGAGTCATTGCGTATAAATATGGAAACGAGCTCGTGGAAATACGCTTTATTCACAGTTCATAACCGGCGTCTGCAACGGCGTGCAGTGGTGCCTACTCGGAAAAAGTTCCTTTTCTCGAGGTATGACTTTTTAAGGCGAAATTCCGTTACAAAAATTACGCTCGATCGCCCGAAGTGCTGATGTTATAATAATTTTTCGTTTCGTCTGTATTAAATGATAGATTGATATATCAATGTTAAGAAGTTCCCAGCGGAGAGCACACGCGCATCCCGCATAACAGTTAAAGCCGAACTCATATCCTTCTTAGAAAAGGGGAAATATGTTGTAACTGTGAAAATTAATGTCGAAAATATCATTCAGCTGTGACAGTTATCTTAAATTTAAAAAATGATTTCAACAGAGATTTTCCTTGTTATCAAAACCTAACCCAAAAGATTCAAAACAACAGAGCTCCATTAAAAAAGAAACACCTTGACTTTCATTTTATATTGGCGCCTCTGGCGTCAAAATCCATTTTGTCTTATCAAACTATGTCCCGTTCGAGATACGATATAACCTAAAAAGAACAGACCTCAATATCATATATATATATAGTTTCCGAGATATTTGACTTGTTACGTTTGAAATTTAGCACATTGTGCATTTGTTTCATACTTATAGCAACAAAATTTTCGCAACAAGCCTTTTCTACAAAATGACATTTCATTCATTTCGTTCGGTCTGTTTATTGCGAAGTAATGATCATTTACTTTACACACAATCCCGATGAACAGCCAGTGTTTATCATCATTCTAAGAAGATTGATTGTGCAGCTACAAATGAAAATGAACGTACAGTTCGTCAATGTTTCGTACGTAAGTGTTGTTTGTGAAAAAGATTTTCGAAAAACATCTCGTCACGTGAAGCTGCAAAAAAATTTCGCACAATGATCGATAAGTGGACACTTTATCTACGTTTATTCACATTACTTTCGCAACAACGCGATAATAATATAAAATTTAATTCGAAATATTCCCGTCGGTTTCCCAAAATATTATCTTCGAATTGAAAAATAATTATAGGCCTGCCGTGTGTGTAAGTAAAAGGTTATTCCATTTTTCCCGCGGAAATGCGGCGTACGACTCGATTATTCATGGAATTTACTCGCTCGCAGATAATACGCCTCTCTCTGTCGCGCGCGCGCGCCAAGAAAAAGGCAAAGAGATCCAGAAAGAGAGGCACGGGTACTTTGTTAACCGTGAAGCAAACACATTTTTGCATACTCTCTCCTCGTTCGCTTTACCTCAATGTCGTATATACTTGCGACCTCGTAGCGGATTATCTTCGTCCTTATTGTGGCGCGTATACGTCACAACGGTGGTGCGGCGCACCGCCGATAAACATGTAGCGTAAACATGAAAAATTTCCGCGTAATAAAAGTCCGTTATCCACTGATCCGGCCTTTTTAATAAAGTGCACGCTGCATCACGAACGTACCGCATGCGCGTGTGCGTGCACCTTTTCACCCTGCACGAGCTCCAACGTACATATACAGGGTGTCTCCGAAATTAATCTCGGTTCCCATGGTGTGCGAGTAAAGCGGGTAAAACTGAACGGAAAAGTCCTATACCGTTTTGCAAATAACACGCAAAATTTCAAGTTATCGATGATTGAAAATGGCCACGCATAGAGACTCTTTTAATTAACAGCTCAACGATTTGCGTGCTATTTGCAAAATGGCGAGAGATTGTTTCGTCCCGAATAATCCAGTCTACAAGTATATATTAGGACTTTTCTGCTCAGTTTCAGCCGTTTTACTTGCACGCAGCACGAGATTAGTCTGGGACACCCTGTATACACAGGCTAGCGTAACAGTCTTAACATTTTGTCATCAAAACATTTATCATAGATCATCAGTTATCAGGATTTTTCGACCACACGCATCGTCTTTACGTGGAGAAGATGCAGCTGTTTCTCGATTATACATTTTTTCGATTTCGCCATGTTTTCCGGTAGCCTAGAAATCTCCCAAACAATAGAATGTCTAAAATCGCACACATAAGACGTCTTTTGAAGACGTTCTTTCAGGCATTATGTGTTAAGGATGTCTTACGTCTCGATTTGAGACGTTCCGTTGCCTAGATCATCAGTACTTTATTCTGCGGAGGAACACAATAAATTCCGTAACGGTAGATTTCAGTGTCGAAAATATAAATCCCGCTGAATCGATCATAAACGGGTCATTTTGCGGACGCATCTTTTTATTTGGACGTATAAAAACGCCGAAAATCGTGCGTTTTCTCTTTTCGACTCGTCATTAAACAAGGACGGAGTCGTAACGATCTACTCCGTAATCTTAAGAGTGAGAGAGAGAGAGAGAGAGAGAGAGAGAGAGAGAGAGAGAGAGAAACAAAGAGATAGAGGGGGCCGGGAGGAGGGAATGAATTTCTTACAGCGAAAATGGAGAAGAGCTGAACGCGTTCTTTATTATATATATGTATACCTTCCGACGATAAGACGGAAGGCAAGATGAGAGCACAGGGTAACGTCGAGCAACGTTAGCTCGGCCACATATTATTTTACACTCTAACAGGGTACGACGATATAACTATATAAAGAGAACGGAGAGAGAGAGAGAAAGAGAGAGAGAGAGAGAGAGAGAGAGAGAGATAGTAGTAGCGCGAAGTGGAAGGGCAGCAGGTGTGTAGCGACCACTCGATAAACATCATCCCGCGGAAGATGGGACGATCACTTCTCCTCGCCCTCTTCCTCCTCGTCGAACTCGCCCTCCTCCTCGGCGGTGGCCTCTTGATACTGCTGGTACTCGGACACGAGGTCGTTCATATTGCTCTCGGCCTCGGTGAACTCCATGTCGTCCATACCCTCGCCGGTGTACCAGTGGAGGAAGGCCTTGCGCCGGAACATCGCGGTGAATTGCTCGGACACTCGCTTGAACAATTCCTGCGAAACGTGAGGGGAATTCTTCGAGCGTTTTCACCCGGCCGAATACGCAAGCCGGCGGTGACACGGCCGACTTGATTCGTAACACGGCCGTCCGGTTGGACGAAGACAATGTGTGGGTATGGCAAACCTGAATAGCCGTGGAATTGCCGATGAAAGTAGCGGACATTTTCAGGCCCCGCGGCGGTATGTCGCAAACGGCGGTCTTCACGTTGCTCGGTATCCACTCGACGAAGTAGCTGCTGTTCTTGTTCTGGATATTCAGCATCTGCTCGTCCACCTCCTTCATCGACATCCTGCCGCGGAAGACCGCGGCCACCGTCAGGTACCGGCCGTGTCGCGGGTCGCACGCCGCCATCATGTTCTTCGCGTCGAACATTTGCTGGGTCAGCTCGGGCACCGTCAGCGCCCGGTATTGCTGCGAGCCCCTGTCGCAGAGAACAACTTCTCTCAGCGTCAGCCGAACTCGGCTTAAACTAATCGGACAATTATCATCGGAATCGGTATTCTAACGTTCAAACCTTGTTACTCGACAAATACTTAATGAAAATGAGCTTTATTGTATCTTGAAAGGCTCTCGACAACAGCTACTAGATTCTGGAATCAAACATGGGTGTTCTGTTAAAAAAAATATCGATGTGACCTGACCTTGGCGACGCCACCCGAGGTCAAACTGGTGAATAGTAAATAGATCGTTTTAAACCCTACGACTTTTGCATGAAACGTTTTTCTCGAAAATACATACTTTCCGAGATATTCAGCCGTCCCCGAACATTTCGGACACCCTGTGTAGTTTGTCGTTCGGCAATAATCGGGAAGTCAATCGTTTTTATTTGCATTAGAAGCGAGATTTTAAGGGCTCGGACACGATAAAAGGGATAAGGAACGAAGAATTAAATATAGAGAATTAGAAGCAAACGTAGAGAATTAGAAAGTGATGCTTTTGTTTTCAAACATTCTTGTATCTTATTTTTATTCTTTTTATTCGGTCTTAAAATGTAACTGATTTTTAATATTTTATTCCAAATTACTTCCTATATTGAATTCCTTGTTCTTTATTCCTTTCACTGTCTGAGCTCTAAGGCTTCTAATCCTCTTATCTCAATAATATTGCTTGGTGATGTCAGAAGCGAGAAAACACGTGCCTAAAATTCTCGTGAAATTCATTGAAATGGAAAAATATTCCTGTAAAATGAGTGAAATATTTCGAAAATTTTTCCTCTGCCTAGAACAATCAATAAATAATCATAAAATTCACATGACGCAATCTTCTCTTTTGGCTTATCTTTACTTATGATTTTGACACGTTAATTTTACGCAGCTATTTATTGATCGTTAAAATAAAAGGAATGTTTTCGGAATATTTTACGAATATGCTCGATCCACCGTAAGAATATATCATTTTATGGACATATTGTTTATTTTATTTCAACATATTCCGTAAAAATTTCAGGCATACGTTTCTTACTTCTGACTTTATTATAATAAAAACGGCTATTATTTGGTTTTCGCCGAACTTTGATTAAACTAATCGATGAATAATAAACATAATCGCTAACACCAATCTCCATTTCTGTGATTTGTCGTTCAGCGATGATTAAAGAAATACTTTCCACTTGCGTTAACAGGATTGAGTAAGTGATACTTAATTGCTAGCGATTTTGAATCTTCGATAAAATTAATCGGATTTAGCGAAAGTCCGAATTACAACAGTCGGTGCGGCGCATAAGCGGATGGCCGAGTAATCGCCAAAGAAGCGAGTATATCATTTCCTCCGAGCCGTTCGATCGATCGTATCGAGCCTCGTTAATTCGACTTTACAATTTAATTTCCAAGAACCATGTCTCGAAAGCGTCTATTCTCGTTTCCTCCTTAGCACCCCTTCTTAGCTTCTTCAAAGTGTCAGCCCACCACGGCGGCTCGGAAGGTGGTATTAATTTTTCCCGAAAGAGAGAGAGAGAGAAGGACTTTTCGCTGACCTGGAGGTCAGGGGAGCGAAACCGGGGATGAAGAAGTGCAGCCGGGGAAAGGGCACCATGTTGACGGCGAGCTTTCGCAGATCGGCGTTCAGCTGGCCGGGGAATCTCAGGCAGGTGGTGACGCCGCTCAGGGTCGCGCTCACCAGGTGATTCAGGTCGCCGTACGTCGGCGTCGTCAGCTTCAGGGTCCTGAAGCATATGTCGTAGAGCGCTTCGTTGTCGATGCAATACGACTCGTCCGTATTCTCCACCAGCTGATGCACCGACAGGGTGCAGTTGTAGGGCTCGACTACGGTGTCCGATACCTAAAAGAGACACGGTAGGAACGAGAAATAACGGCTGACGTGGAGCATCTCCGTCAGTTCGTTCTCGTGTATTTTATCGGAGACGTGTGTGAGAGAGAGAAAGTGTGTGTGTGTGTGTGTGCACACATACACACGAGACACAAGACGCATTGTAGCTGCGGCCACTCGTAACTCGCGCGCGGTATTGTCCTATTAAGGACAAAAGGTGGGTTTCTGTCGGCACCTTTTGTTTTCGCTTTCCATTGTACCTTATCCCGTGGCACGCATCGCAGAAAGGCGCCGGAATACGGCACAACGTAAAGCCGACCGCGCGGGAATTTCGAGGAGAACGTTCCAATCGTCGAGCCGAGAACCTCGGAAACGGAGTTTTTTCCGAGAAGCAAGGAGAACAGCTTCGCCTTCGAGGTAACACCGAGGCCGATCGGAAGCCCGGGAACGTCAGAGGGAAGGTTTTGCGTGTTGATGGGTAAGCGGGTCAGATTGACCCAAGTGGGCTCACGTGGGCCACATGTGTCTAGCTCACGTATTTATTGGGGGAAACAGTGGTAAAGATATCGCGCGACGTTTCCCTCAGAACACAGGTACTTACTTTTTAGATTCTGAAATTAATTCTAAAATGTTCTTAAGGCTCCTGGATACTTATTGCGCCAGTTCAGCAGTGCAGCTGAAAAGAACAGGAGACAAAACCGAGATCTGTCGATTCGTTAAATCTAATCTCCAATCCCTGATACGGGCTTAACGCATAACTTCATATTATATCATTCATTTGATCGAAAAGTGAGTCCAGAATATGGACCGTAACATCATTTCAGATAATTCTTAGACGAGATTACATTTTTTTTTATATCTAAGATAGAGATGAACACATTTTGCATTTCTCTCATCTAGATAAAGGTGATCCCATTATTCATCTAGATGATTTTTAAGATAATTTTATCTAAATATCGGCAAACGTGGCTCTCAGAGACCAACAATTCTTAGACGAGATTACACGTTTCTTTTTTTAATCTAAGATGAAGAAGAATGTATTTTGCATTTCTCTCATCTAGATAAAGATGATGGGGTTATTCATCTAGATGATTGTTCAGATAATTTTATCTAGATATCGGCAAATGTAACTCTCAGAGACGAACATATCTCGACTGTGTGTTATATACCTTCGGTGACGGCACCACGCTGAACGTCATCATGATCCTGTCGGGATACTCCTCGCGTATCTTGGAGATGAGCAAAGTGCCCATACCGGCGCCGGTACCGCCGCCCAGCGAGTGCGTAAGCTGAAATCCCTGCAGGCAGTCGCAGCTCTCGGCCTCTTTGCGCACCACGTCCAGGACGGAGTCGACCAGCTCGGCGCCCTCGGTGTAGTGGCCCTTGGCCCAGTTGTTGCCGGCGCCGCTCTGACCGAACACAAAGTTGTCCGGCCGGAATATCTGGCCGAACGGACCCGACCGCACCGCGTCCATCGTCCCGGGCTCGAGGTCGACCAAGATCGCGCGCGGCACATACTTGCCGCCGCTCGCCTCGTTGTAGTAGACGTTTATCCGCTCGAGCTGCAGGTCCGAGTCGCCGTGATACGTGCCGGTCGGATCGATCCCGTGCTCGTCCGAGATCACTTCCCAAAACTATAATCGGGTAATATCATATAGCGGGGTCTACAATGAGAATTTAAGACGTGAGAAATTGGCCAATCACGGCCGAATTATAGAAGAAAAATCAATTGTGATTGGTCAGTTTCTAAAATCTTATATCTAGAAATGAAAATTGCCCTCGCACAGATTTCGCAGGGTAGGGAATACGAAATTATTCTCGCGTGTCTCACCGCGTGTACCGAGCTTGCCGAATCAATCTCAATTTCTCACCGTAATTTGATCCACCTTCCAATCTCGAGCTTTTCCCTTCTTAATTTTCTTCCTTTTCATTAACAGCAATACCCCCATATAAGTGCGCATATCACGCTAAACTGAAATATCTTTTTGATAATTTCTTAATACGATTTCAACTTTTCATGATAATTTGTCCGTTCGATTTCGTTTTTCAATTAATCGACTGATCACAATGTTCGGATAATTATGCTAAATAAATACGCTTATCCAGCGATTATCTAATCGCGTTTCCTGGAAGAAATTATAGTTATTTTCGACATCAGATATACCCTTTTTCTATTTTAATCACAAAAATAATAGTAACATATGCATGTAAAGTTATCATTTACATTATAATAACATTTACTAGAAACATTTTCTCCTGATTATAATTCTTTTATTATGGCGTATAATTATGGTATAATTGCGAATACCAAATATTTTTCTCTCAGTGCGACGATTTCAGTTTTTCACAATAATTTGCTCGACTAACTTGGTTTATTAATTAATTATCAGCAATATCCTCACATAATCATTACACTAGACTGCTACGTTTATTTGGCGATTCTTTAATTGCTTTTATTTCAGTCTTTATTACATAATTTGTCATATAATTTATTTGATCGCAATTTTTTCTTCTAATTAATGGTAATAATCTTATATAAGCGTTACGCTAAATCAATATGCATGTCTAACGATTCTTTAATTGTGACGGTTTTAGTTTCTCACGATAATTTCCCTATTTGATTTCACCTCTCAATGAATAACAATGCTCAGATAATTATAATACATTAATACGCTTATCTAGTAATTATTTAATCCCGACAATTTCTATCTCTCACGGTAATTGGGTCGATCGATATTTGCTTCTGTTTTTTTAACCAATAGTCGTGCTCTCGTATAACCATTACGCTAAACTGATACGTTCGCCCAGCGATTATTTAAAGGACCATTTACATTGTAAGCAGTAATAAAAGGGCGTTTATACGGAGGAAACTAATTTTGCCAGAGCAGCAAATGTTGGTCGAACAACGACAGCAAAAGAAAATTTGTTCAGACAGCAAAAATTTCTTTGGATAGCAGAAAGATTCGTTAAGAGTATTAATCCCACGTATCCGGCAAATAGCAATTAATACTCTTACAAAGCTTTCATGCTGTTCAAACAACTTTTTCGCTGTTTAAACAAATATTTTTTTTCACTCTCACTATATTGACAAACATTTGCTGTTTCAGCAAAATTCGTTTCCTCCGTGTACATTAGGAGCAAGCAGTAATAAATAAGGAGTATTATAAAAGGATATTGGTTGACGGTAAAGATAAATCGAGAGTGGGAAACGCGAGTGATCTATTTCGCTTACGTCCGGCATTACGTTTTGCTCCATCGAAGCAACCTGTACTGCCTGTTCCGCAGTGTTAATACCTGCAATGTGAACGGTCCTTGAGGCTCCCATGTCCTCACCATTGAACTATATAACAAACTGGAATGAATGCCGCCTTTGTTTCTGCCTGAGATGACCTCGTGCCGAGAGACAGACAGTATCTAAGTAGTACCTCCGTCTTTGTCTGTTTGTGTCGGTCTTCGTCTTACCTGAGCCTGTATAAACTATACAGCATGTTAGTAAGAGAGAGAGAGAGAGAGAGAGATACTACTTAGACATAGCCTTTGTCTCAAGTGTAGTCTATAATGGAAATAGCAGGAGTATATTCATAAGTAGTAGAAGAATAAGAAATTAGCCAATCATATTCGAATATAAGGAGAATGATCGACTACAATTGGTTAATTTCTTACTCTTACTTCTTATAAACGTATTCCTGCTGCTTATTATAGGCCATGTTTTACAGGCCTGCTTACAGGCCATGACCTCCACCACGCCGGTGCTCCTTCCAGTGTGTTATATATTTCGATGCTCCTCACTTTGACTGTCCTTGTTTGATAACGTCAGAAGCGAGAAATCGCGCGCTAAAATATGTTTTTCATTTTTACGTATATCATAACATATTTTGGTGAAGGAGGAAGGGAGCTTCGATTGCGATAGTTTCAGTTTTTTCGCGACAATTCACCCGCTCGATCTCGCCTTAATTAACAGCGAGGCCCGAATAATTACGACTAACCGACACATTCGCCTAGCCGCGATAATTCGAATTTTTCAATGTAACTCGCCAGGTTGACTTTATTCCCTTAATTAATAATTCGAATTTTTCAATGTAACTCGCCAGGTTGACTTTATTCCCTTAATTAATAGCAATGCCCGAGCAATCACAGCCAAACGCTTATCTATCTGATCACTTAATAGTGACGATTTCAATTTTTCACGGTAATTTGCTACGCTGATTTTGTCCCTTAATTAACGACAATGTCCACGCGACTATGCTGAACCGATATCCGCTTATCTAGCGATTAATTAATCGCGGGCGATTTCGAAATTTTCACGGATAAATTTCCGGATTGATCCGGTTGATTTGACTCTCTCTGATTAATAGAAAACGCTCGGGTAAGATTTAGACCGATGCGCGTCAATCTGGCGATTAATTGAAGAATCAAGGAGGGCCGCGTACCTTCGCTCCGATCTGATTGCCGCACTGGCCGGCCTGAAGATGCACTATTTCACGCATGGTCGCTCAGCTTTCACCTCGACGAATCCTCCTTTTCGTTGTACTTCGGCGCGCACCAGAAGATACGAGCGTCGGCGTCTCGAGGCGACGAGAGAGTTGTCGCTTGTTTCCTCCTCGTCTCTCTCTCTCTCTCTCTCTTCGAAGTGCGGGCTTGTTCCGCGGGGATGCCGATGACGAGCAAAGGGCGCGCCAGGGGGATCGGCAGAGTCAAGAAGAAGCGACGGAACTCCGATACACAATTCCCGCAAAATCCCTAACCCTAAGAACTCGCAACTCGGGGTAATTTAGCTTGAATCAAGCTCGTGTTCCCATGGAGATAAATTCCCGGGAGGAGGGAAGCACCCACGTCATCGTCATCCTCCGTGTCGCTTCTGTTTTCCGGGACAATCGAATGGCGAAATCGAAGGAACAAAAGATTCACGCCGGCGTGAAGCCGTGTATTGCGCGCCCGCTCGCCGATGCAAACGCGCATCGGGAAGAAATTCACGAGCGACGGATGTCGGGGCTCGATTCGCGAATGACGAGGTCGGCGCGAATGCCGATCGGTGCTTTTTTCCCAACCACGATCAATGTGCCATCACTGGGCCCGGTATTCGCACGTACGTCCGATTTGATATTTAAGACCGTCTCAGGTTCATCTTCGGATGCTTCGTAGCCAATGAAACGAGCCGTACGGCATCGGAAGATGAACTTAGGACGGTTTTGTGCGGGAGATCCGACGATGTGATTATCGGCCTGAGAAGCAGCCAATAATCACTCATAATTACGAATATAGCATTGCAAATCGGAAGAATCTCGCTAAGGGAAGTGTCTCTCGATAGCTGGAACTCTTTTCATCGATAAAACTTACTGCAGAAACGGTGGAAGGTCTAATTTATTATTTCTTTCTTATCATCTCGATCATCCACAAGCCTCCTGCATACCCCTGTATACCCGCTGCGATTGTTTGCTCGGTGACGTCAGAAGCGAGGAAACTGTTTGGGAAATTTCTCCGTCCGGCTTCACTTTCCGAACAATATACGACAAAAGGGCCCAGGTGGAAATGTTTCCGTGAAAAGTCCCGGAATACTCACTAAAATTATCGATGAGACCACCGGTTTTACACCGAATTCAATCAGTGACATTCTCATTGATCCAACTTGCCAGAGTGAATTCCAAACTTTTTCGTTGAACTTCGATCCTTTATTGAAAGCTTCACAGATTACACATGTTTCTCAAGTTGAAAAAAAAAATATATATATATATATATCACACGTCTTCTTCTTTGTTGCTTTCTTATTCTTCTTCTTCTCTCGTCTTACAGTTATGCATTCAATTCGAGAGTGTCCGTTGAATGTTTGCGCTTTGCCGGAGGGGGGGTGGAAGAGGGAGGAGGAGGGGGGGGGGCACTTGGAGTTCCGTAAATCGAATCCCGAGTAATGCTACTTAGGAGGAAATCGAGACGAGATCTAGATGAAGTTGGCGAAACTCTTCGTCGCGAGCGCACTCGCTATCTCGTTAACCAGCTCCCGGTATACAAGCGGATTGACGTTCTCCGCGAGTTGTTGCAGCAGGAACCAATCGCCGAAGTGGAATGCCCGTACGACACGCTCGGCCTTGGATTTTCGGAGCGTGCGAGTCGCGCCGCGCAGGAGATACACTCTCGCCCGGAACTGCGAGAAAACTGTGATCCTGCGAAAGAGACGCGCGCATCAGCACACAGAATACACGAGAACAACCGCGACGATCGCAAAATTTTCACTCACTGTTTCCGTTGAGATCGAAAAATGTGTGATCGATCGAACATAGATTAATGGAAAAAAGAAAAACGTTCCGAAAACTTTCCTCTTGCTCTGACGATCGATAAAAATAGTGGATGCAAAATGAAGAAAGAAAGAAACGGAGATATGGAGAAATCCTTTTGAAGATTTTGAAGTTTTGGGAAATATTTCAGATAGAGAAAATGAAGCTTCAGTTTTCGCAGTGCGTGTTAATACCATTCGGATATATTCGTATGCAATCCTTTATAATTCATTTATTATTACGGAAAAGCTCTCACGCGTGGATTTTCTCGTCTTCTCCGACGTCGTGATCCGAAAACTGATCGTTACCGTAAAGCGGGATCCACGATGAGAATTTAAGGCGTATGATTTAAGAAATTGACTAATCAAAATCGATCTTTCTTCTATAATTCGACTGTGATTGGTGGTCAATTCCTTAAGACTTAAAGCTTAAAGCAACTATCGTAGACCGGGACTTAAGGGGGATCTACAATAAGAATTTAAGGCGTTTAGAAAACTGACCAATCATAATTGATCTTTCTTCTACAATTCGACTGTGATTAGTGGTCAAATCCTTAAGGCTCAGAGCTTAAAGCATCTATCGTAGACCGGGGCTAAGACTATCAAAATATCGTAACGCAAGCACTGCGCCGCCGAAAGCGCGGATATCCGCAGGTATATCACCTGTATATCACCGCGAGGAGGCCGGAGCCCGCGAGGAAGACCAGCCAGAACCACAGCACGACGAAGATCTTCTCGTTCACTACGTTCAACGGCAGCACGCAGAGCATGTCGTGGGTCTGCACCGAGCCGGCCGGCCCGAAGGTGTGAATCACGCACTTGGTCATCTTCGGGAACAGCCGCGCCATCGGGTCGATCCGATCGTGCGGACTCCCCTCCAAGGCGAAAGAGCTCACCAAAAGCCCGTACCGCCTGAATTGTCCCTCCAGGAATACATCCAGCAGATATATCTGTCCCACCTATTGTTTGTTATATGATAAAATAAAATCACAGTAAAAAGAATACAATAAAATAGGTACAGAAATACAATAAAAAACCGGGGAGATTGGCGATCTCACTTCTGGCGCGCCTCTCGCGGCGTCCTCGGGATATAATTGTGTGCAAAGAGAGAAAACACTGAGGAGGAATTCTTTTAGGATTTCCAATTGTAGTCGCACAGGTAAAAGAATTGTACACTGGAGAAAACATTGCTACATTCAAGTAAATATTCACGTAAATATTTAAGCGTTAGTAGTAATTTATTTTATTTGGATCGAGCAAATACCACCTGAATACAACACACTGAAAGAAAGAAACCAAGGTGCTACATTCAACAATCGATAAGTAATGATAAAATTAATGTGACACGTAACCTTCCTTTCAACCTATCTTTTCTCGCGATATCATTAAGTCAATTTCACGGCTATTTATTAACTGCTGAAGTAATATGAAAGCTTCCGGAATATTTCGTGAATACGTCCGGCCGCTCGCAAGTATATAATTTCATATCCTTTTATTTCATACGCTATTATGTTCAAAAATTTTGAGCGTACGTTTCTTCCCGTTTCTGACGTCATTGAGCAAGATGGCTACGGCCAGAAATTGGGAGCCTTAAAACCAGAAGAAAATACAGTCGAAGCCGGGAATGACTATATAATTTTAATGGGATTTCTCTCGCAGTGAACAAACGTCGAGAACGTCTTCGAACGACGAACGAGTAAAAAGGGAAGAAAAGATCGTCGGTTTTTTTTCTTTAAATGTATTTTTTCCTTTTCTCCTCGTCTTTATGAAAATGGCAGGGAAGTTTCTGCGATATAAAGTGGCTATATTTTACGTTGAGGTTCCTCGACGAGTATATTTCTGCGCGAGATACAGGTGTACCTCGTATATGTGTACGCAATTTGTGTGTGTGTGTGTATCGGGTTTGCAACAAAGTTTCGACCGCTCGTCTCCGCCCGGGTGGTTATCGAACCGGAGTTAATTATTCACCTTTATTTCCGCGCAATTTCCTCACCTCTGACGTCACAATCTCGGCTGACTGACATAAGTATTGACATTGCACGGAGAAAACAAATTTTGCTAAAACAGCAAATGTTTATCAATATAGCGACAGCGGAAGGAAATTTGTTTAGACAGCAAAAAATTGGTTTAGACGGCGGAAAGATTTGTTAAAAGTATCATTAATTGTCCATATATATACCCAGCAAATAGCAAATTAATACTCTTAACAAATCTCTCTGCCGTCCAATTGTCAATCTTTTCTTGTCTAAACAAACTTTTTCGTCCGAACAAAATTTGTTTTCTCCGTGCGCTCGTGGCCGAACCTTTTGTAAGAATCCTCGGGGACCTTTTCGCAGACTCCCGAGGAGACAGAGAGAGAGAGAGAGAGAGAGGGTAGGAGGGGGGGATCGCACTTACCGAATTTAAAAGGTTCAGCAGCTCGCACGCGAGGAAACTGAGTGCGTAGAAATTGTGACCGTGCAGATTCGTCTTGGTGAAGTAATCGACGAGCTGCTGCTTCCTCTCCGCGGTCCAGACGTCCCGCAGGAACGGGGACGCGAGATCCCGCGAGAGGAGGCCCAAGGTGCCTCTTTCCCAGACGCCCCACAGCGCGCGCGGCACGTAAAAGAGAATGGCCTGCAAGCCGAGGACGAAGCAGACCTATCGAACGTCGAATTTTATTCCCGATTTTTCGCCGGTTTAAGCTTTGATTTTAAACATTAATTTCCTCGCCGCAGCCATCTTAATTAACACCTTCGCTACCACCGCCGCAGACGCGCGTGTTTTTCTCTCAATTTATGATAACGCATTGCGATAAATTTGGAAACGAACAGCATCGTTGAGCGAAAAAGGCCAGAAAATAGATGTAGGATGACCTTGGTTTAGGAATAGTTGCATTTCCATCCTAAAAAGACCGAATTGGGGACGTATTTGGACAAAATACACCCTGGGCTGTGGTGTGAGATTTTCTTCTCAGATCCTGGTAGCGAACGCGTTAAGGACGTTAAAAGCGAGAAATGTCCGAGATTCTCGCGGAATACGTCGAAGTAAAAGGATGTGATATAATATTTGTGATCGAGCGAGCGAATTTGTAAAGTGTTCCGAAAACTTTCCCTCAACTTGACTTCAACAATCGAAATAAATAGCCGTAAAATTCACGTGCTAATATCGTGAGAACAGATAAGCTGATAATAAGATAAAACTAGATAAAACTAGATAAAAATGAAGATTGCCCCAAATAGCACAGTGACTTCTGCTGTTCTGAGATGAGAGTTCTCGAGGCGTGTCATGTTAATTTGATCGTTATTTACTCATTGTTATGGCAAAAGAGTCCGGGATATTTTATAAATGTTATTTTATCATATCCTTTCATTTCGAGGTATTTCGCATGAGTTTTGGGCGTTTTCTCGCTTCTGACGTTATCAAAGATTACTGCACAAAATTACTGCAGCGAGGCAGCAGGAACTTGAATTTTACAGTGGTGTCGCGCGGATGACAGGTTTCATCCGTACGCACTAAAATGCATTTCCCGAAAAACACTAGCAAGCATCCGTTTTCCGCCTCCGTATATTTGTCAATCGGGAACTGTTCTCGTCTGCTTTAAATAAAATCTTTTATGATGGTAATTTCCATTTAAATAAATATTATTACTTTCTAAAGCGATTTTCTCATTGAAAATGTCAATTTAAAATTAAGAAGACACTTGTCATCCATTCCAGGACACGACCATTCCAGGATCAAAGCTCGTGTTTCCACCTCTTCATCGATAACGTCAGGAGCGAAAAAATACACATTCCAGATTCCTGCAAAATATATGAAAGTAAAAACATGTCCGTGAAAAGGCGACAACTGCAATCGGTTAGGCAGATTTGTAAAATATTCTATATTTATTTATAAATTAATAATTATAATAAATTTTAATAAATTCCTCGCTGCGTTAACATATTTGTTTCATAATTGAAATGTTTAAAAAAAAATTGTAAAGCTTTCATCAGCAAGATTGTCTCACCTCTTGACAATCGTGGAAGTTTACGCGGATATTTTCCGTTCTCCGTGAAAACTTGAAATTAATATACAGGGTGTCCCAAAGTAATCTCGTGGTGTGCAAGTAGAACGGGTGAAACTGAGTAGAAAAGCTCCTACACCATTTTGCAAGTAATACTTGAATATTTGCAAAATGGTACAGGACTTTTCTGCCCAATTTCATCCGTTCTGCTTGCACACCATGACGCGAAGGTCGAATTGCGATACAGAGTGATATGGATAACCGGTGAATCTACAATCTCCATTTTCACTTCCCGGTGCCTTCCCGCTTTACGTCCTCTCTCGGACGTTTTCTTTGCACACACACACACACACACGCACACGCACACACGCGCGCGCGTATATGTGTCCACGTTCGTCGATTTCATTCACGCTCGCGCAATATGTCTGCATGCCACTTCCTGACCGTCGGAAGCACGAAGTGCAGTCGTTACGATGCATCCCGCGTACGTTGGGTGCAAGTCGATGTGTATGCATTCGCGATATGAAAACTTATACGATCGGCCGATTCGGGCTCGAGCGTGTCCTCAGCAGCATTTCTCTTCGGCTTTTTCTATTCTTCAGCGCACCTCATCGGAAAATAATTCCAGAGTTTATCTTCTTCGAGGAATATCTCGATCTTTCATTCTCTTCCTCGGGAGAAATTTTCCTCCGAGATGTCGGCCGAACATGAGAGTATCTCGGCCGAATTTGATTAAGCTCTCCTGGTTCGCTTCGTAGTCGTCTTGTTTTGATAACGCCGAGGAAGGGAGGAAACGAAATGCCCGAAATTTCTTGCAAAATACGAATTGAATTGACAAGATACGCCCGCAAAATGGAGAGACACTTGCGATTGATCGAGCGTATTTGCGAAATTTACCGAATACGTTCTTTTTTGCGATTTTATCGATCGATAAATAATCGTAAAATTAACGTGACATACGATCTTTCTTTACAGCCTCTTTTCTCATGACTGTCGCGTTATTTCACGGCTATCCATCGATTGTTTGAAATGAAAGGATGGCTTTTGGAATATTTTATAAACGCTCTCGATCGATGGCAAATATTATTTTACTTTCTAATATTATTTCTTTTAATTTAACGTATATTTTGCAAGAATTTTGGGCGTGTGATTTTTGTTTCTAATCTTTCGCCATTAATCAAGATGACTGCCGTGAGGAAACAAGAGCCTTGACACAGTTGGTCCGCGAATTAATTTTCTCAGGAATATTTTCAAATCTTTACAGCATGTCAATCAAAACACATTAATCTACATACATGCAAAATTAAAAGACAATTAACCATATCGAAGCTCGAGATAATTGAAGTCAAAAGCCAATACTATTTATCATCAGTGATAAACTGACTCATCGTGATGGAAATATATAAAGATACTATATAAAGATAGTTGAACGCAGTTATAGCCGGCGAAGATGGAAGATATATCGAGTAAAATATAATTTAACGTCTTTCTAAAATAAACGTGTCCTTTTTTCTCAAAAAAAAAAACGTCTTTCAAAACTAACTGGAACACACCTGATAAAATGAAGCACACACAATTTCTGATAATATTTGAAATATATGATAGCTAATCTGTAAAGACCTGTTGGGGATTGTTTGTGCTACAATTTCCTTCGTTCTCTTGATTAGGCATCGTTTTAAAGATGTAATAGTTAACGAATTAATAAATAATCTTAAAGATCTATAATTAATATGTAGAGATGCAAGAAAAATAGAAAAACACGGAAAGTGTGCATCTATTGAAATACATATGATATACATAATAAAACATGTGTTACAAACGGTCCATCCAAATGTTTACGTTACTTCAACAGGGTGAGTGTGTTAAAGTGTAACATGTTAACAAAGCCAACATGTTAATTTCATTATATTTACGTACTTTTTAATACATTCTCCGTGTTAAAGTAACGCAAAAATTTGGGTAGACAGTTTTAAACGCAAAATTTTTTACCATGTAATCATAAACAACGTGTATCTAATACGGGCCAGCTAAAGATATTACATATCAAGGCACAAAAAACGATTATTTCTTTACAAGTTTTAAAATATTATACAGCGTTAGATTGATATTCACTACAGTGTCAAAATTATATATCATAAATCATGTTTATCATCATTTAGCACAGATTTTATAAGCTTCATTGCGTTGCACAGACTAACAATCTTGAAGTAATCCGACTTTAACGCAGAGAATGTATAAACACTTCTACTTCCAAATGTGAGCTTTAAAAAACACATAGAAAAAGAACCGTAAAATCAATGCGACAATACGATCTTCCTTTTCGGGAAGCTTCGATATACTAATGGACTATCGAGATATCTTCCAACTCGTTGAGCTTTCTACTTCACCTTCGCTCTTTTTCCTTCCTGTTTTTCACACCTAACCTCTATCTAACAACTACATATATCCCATCATATCCATATCGTGATCGTTCTAAGCTCCAACTGACCCACTGATAATACCGATGATGACGAACTTCATCATTTGGAAGAGCCTGTCCTATGCCAGCGTTCGCGACATCCCGTCCGGGAACGCCGTTCAGATGTCGGGACACCGTGAACGTGCTATAGATCCAGCAATACGCATTTACGGAATCCTTGTCTGTCAGGAAGATACAGGAAGAACATTATGTTGTGACCGATGCAGCTCGACTAGCAGCTGCGGTCTACACCGAGCTTCAATAAAGCCTGAATTAATGTTCATTAAACTGAAACTCGTCCGGTCTCTCTAATCGCTCACATTATGGATCTGGATATGCGTATACATTGTAATCTGATTATTAATTTATTTTCGCAGCTCGATATATCATATTATATTTGAGCATGATAAAAATTATTCGAACCAGTGAATTTCGGCTTAATAAATGTTAATTGAAGCTTAATCGTAGCATATTGCTTATTATCAATATGAAATGATTTCTGTGTGTTGCAGAGTATTAATGATAAAATATTTAAAGGTACATAGATTAAGGAAATGTACGTTAAGATAAAGATACGTAAAGATACAGTTATTTAAAAGATCACTTCGCTCCAAAGTCATGTTCAAATATTTTGTTGTCGTTGCGCCAAACCAATAATTTCAGTCTATGAATAACTGATGATAAAAATATTTAAAGATACGCGCGATCTTCTCGAAGACGTTCCAAAGTGACGTTTAGATACACTATTGTCAAACCGACAATTTCTGTCAGTGAGAAATCGATGATGAAAATATTCATGACTTTATGAAAGATATTCTATTTTTAATTTATTATTATTATATTCAAGATATTCTAGTGTTTAGGTTCGCTGCACCGCGACTGTTCGCATTCGTTCGCAGCTCGGAGGTTAATAAGATTCGTACCAATGGAAGCATCGGTCATGCAAGAGATCGGTTCGCCGATGTATTGCTTGGCGCTCACGAGGACGGTGCAAATGACCAGCAGGAGGACGGTGACGCGTGAATGTAACCTGAAGACGACATTGTCGATACAGACGGATTCTTCCTGCAGGAGGCATTTGACAGGTGCGAAGAGGTCCAACATGCTTGTCGGGTGTGGCTTTTTTTATCCGTCACTTGTTTCTCAAACCGCCGAAACAAAGCAGAATAGAGAAAATTCCAGCGCGCGTTAACGGAGGAAATGTGCGCGTCCCGTTCGACGGCTCGATCGCTCGTCCGTTGCAAAAGTCACGAAAGTATTATGAGAAAGCCATAAATGATCGAGTAATAATCGTTGATTAAAAAATAAAAGCTCTGTCTACAGACCTTCAAATGTGCTCAATTTTTAAATATACTTAATTATTATTTATAGGCACTTTCGCGTTATTTCTCGGTTGACTCGTGATACGTTGAATAAATCTTGGGATTGATCGTGTATCGAGAAACACACACGGTAAAAGAACATATTTTGTACTTGTGTTAAAATCAATTCTTACGAAAATTTTTGTGTTGAATTTTTAACATATGCGTATATTGATTTAACATAATGTGTTTGTGTCATCTCAATATTTTGTGTTAAGTCGATATTCAACTTGTGTGTTAAAATATAATAAATTACAATACAATTTATACGACAGTGTCGATTGACACTATTATGAATATTAATTTTCTGTTAATTTTTACAATATTTTGATACAATATTTCGATATAATATTACTTTTCAACGTACATTCACTTTGTATTAAACTAACACAAAGATTTCCACGGAAATCATATTCGGAAATAACATGAATTTTTGACTTATCCACGGTTTCACGAAAATTGATCTGAAATATTCGAAAGATCATCACAAGCCAAAATGTGCACTCGGAACAGCAATGATGTACCTTTACAATAAAAAAAAAATAACCAAGAATTGTCAAAGTGAAATGTCAGAGATATCGATTCCTAAATTTTGTACTTGAGGAAATCGGACATTTCATATTTAATAACACGATAGATTGAAATTTCTTCCTAGTGAAACAAAACTGCAGTCAATCCGTTGGGAAAATACGACATTACTTTCCTTCCAACCCGATATATTATTTCCTTCAACTCCCTCTACAAGTGCGTCGATGGAAGTCAAATATGTTCGCTCATAGAAACTTCATCGAAACTTAAAATATAAAATGGACGAAGTGCTCTGGTCGAAAGGGGGAGAGCTAAAGAAAAAGAAGCTGCCTCTACCCTCGATTTCAAGGACATCCTTTATTAGTAAAAAATATAGTAATTATGATAATTATTATTATCTCAATTACATATCGTAGTAAGATAATCGTTATACCGTCGATTAGAGATAACTGCATATTAATAATGCGCGCGTGTAACGTCGCTTTGTCGTGTGCGTATGCGCGTATGTGTACGTGTGTCTGTGTGTGTGTGTGTGTGCACGTCACTCTGTATACGCATGTGTGTGTGTAATCACTAGATTCAGATTGTCACTAAACCTACATAAATGTTTTCCTATATACAAACAAACATGATCCTAAGGCGCGGATGGCCGCGATGGGCGGCGCGCCAGGTTTCCGAGAGTCTGTTTCTTGCTAATTAATAATATCCCCTCTGAAAGAGAGGCCAGCCAACGAATATCGGATTAACAGGATCCCCTTATCGCCGCGACAGCCGGCGAGAGGTATCGCCGAAAGAGAGGAAGAAAGAGCGAGAAAGAGGGAGAAAGAGAGAGAGAGAGAGAGAGATAGAGAAAGAATTATTCTTTCTTCGTTTCTCTTTATTATCTCCATCCTCCCTCTTATTCCCACCTCTCGCTTTCTTTCTCTTTATTCTAGCGCGCACCGCTAGATTACTTCTAAGAAGCGGTCGGTTTTACAAACCTCTTTTCCTCCCCTTCGCCTTATATATACAAACTGTTTGCACTGTCGACGATCACATGCATCATTATAGCTGCATATTATAGTAGGCACGCTCATTCGGTGTCATAGAGTCCGTAAACATCCTGCGAATCATCGGCGATCACTTCTTTTTTTCATGCGCATCTCTCTCTCTCTCTCTCTCTCTCTCGTCCTTTTTTCGCTGTTCTCTCTTTCTCCACCTCCCCCCCCCCTTTCCCCTCCATTGTTCAAATATGATCATATGTCATTATCCTTCGCAACATAGACGCAGATACGGTATTTCGGTAGTCTCTCGAACTGTACCAACGATCGCCAAATCTTAAGATGTCAAATCGACAAGGCATGTCACGACCCGTCAGAAGTCACGTTTCTAATCTACGTCGATTCCAGTTCACGTTCCCTTTGTATTTTAAGTCAATTTAATTCTATCTCTCGCCTCTCCGGCGATTCTCTTCGCGCGAGAGAGAGAGAGAGAGAGAGAGAGAGAGAGAGGAGGGGGGTTCACAAAGTACAAAACAATCTTGAGCAACCGCTGAAGACTACAATCTCGAAATCTACGACAATCAACTCGCTGATTTATTTACGAGTAACGGGACAAGTGGCGGCCGACGGTTTCTCTATACTGTAGGAAGGATTTGGTAACATAAATTTGGTAATTATTACTAAATAATTCGATGAAACGTTACCAAGCCAAACGTTCGGCAACGGTTGCGAAAGGATTTCATTAGATGAGATAAATATTTCGTTCTGAGAACCAAGATTTAATTGCTTGGACCATACATTTAGATCATTAAACTAAATTTAATATCGATACCAAATCTTGATAGTAGGAGATGAGATACATTTGATAACTATTATTAAACATATGATACGTAAGAAAAATTGTTTTAGATAATTATTGTCGTTTTATTTTAAAAGATTTCATTGTTCTCACGTAAACCATCTTAAGATAATAACTTGACACTCCACTTCATATTTTGATGTATTTTTTTTCACTTCATACATGAAAATTCTCCGTAGTTTCGATCTCGTAGAAGTCACTCATTCAATTACTGGCCGCGACCCGTGCTTGCTTTACGTTAATGATCGAACCGACCGATTCTACAAGTTTTCGTGATGTCTTTATGTTTCGTACTTTTAATATATCCATGTATAGAGAAAGAGAGAGAGAGAGAGAGAGAGAGAGAGAGGGGGGGGGGGGGGGGGGAGNGTTACCAAATATTTTATAAGAATGGAAGTGAATGATTTTGTAATACTTACCAAATATCTAATAATAATTATAAAACATTTCATAACAAATGTTAAATATTTAGTAGCAATTTTACTATTTTATTTAGTTGATTCAACTTTGAATAAAAGCCTGCTTATATTGCGGGTCAACTAAATATTAGTAATTAATATCCAATAATTCGAAACGGTTACCAAATATTCCGTATTTCGAGATCTCTAAGTTCATTTAGCAAATATTACTCTTCCTTCAGCGTGTAAAAATTGCAACGCCACCTTCCTTCTTTCTCCCCTTCCCTTCCTCGATAACGACAATCAAAATTACAAAACGTATCACATACACTTATACGCATCGGATTATCATTAATCTAATTCTTCTATTATTCTACCGTGTCTCATAGGAAATAATCGCAACACGGAGCAAATGCAACCCAAGTTGAGCGGTGTGTGTGTGCTTCTCTTTCTCTCTCTTCTCTATAATAATTTCAAGACTCTATAATATTTATCTCCAATGTTCCCGATATAGCGCACGATATCGTCATATCGGCAGGATTTTCCTTCCGTATACAATGTAAATAGAAACGAGAATGTAGAAAATAACACAACCCCCGCGATAGCATGCTCGTGTAATAATAGCACGCGGTTATGCGAAGATATCTCGGCAAAGAAAGAAGAAAGAAGGACATCCTCGTACATCATCGTGCATTAATGCGATATCGGCGATAATCCGGTCGTCATGAGGATTTTTTCACGAACGCATATTGGAAACGGTCTCTCGAGACGCCACAGAGAAAACAAATTTTGCTGGAACAGCAAATGTTTGTCAATATAGTGACAGCAAAAACATTTATTCAGACAGCAAAAAATTTGTTAAGAGTATTAATTGTTAAGAGTATTACAATTAATACTCTTAAAAAATCTTCCGGCTGTCTAAATAAATTTCTTGCTGTCTGAACAAATTTTTTTTCTCCGCGTTTTCTTCGACCACGCATAAAACTCCTTCAATGGCAGTGTGTGTGTGTGTGTGTGTGTGTGTGTGTAGTAGAGAAGACGCACAAATACAGTTGACATCGTTGACAGGCAGAGATAAAGAGAGAAGGATAATGCAGCGGCAGTGGAGAATTATTTGGCCTCGATTCAACCGTTCGTCGTTTTCAGCTTGTAGAAAGAAGATGCGTGGACCATCGGTTCTTCGTGCGAGAAACGAAGAACAGAGCAGGCAGACAGACAGACAAGGGACAACGTATGATGGGAAACGCAATGGGAGGTACACGGGCGACGTCACGTTAAATAGCGAGGTACGTCGGGAATATCAAGACAGAGAAAGAGAGAGAAAGAGCAAAGATCGGCAGCCGGCCGTTCGCGGCTGATGAGCAAACGACGAATTCGTTAAACCCGAAGGCATCACATTTGGAGGATCACTTCGTGAGCGGCGAGAATCTCGTTCGGAGCGGCCGGTCACACTGAGAATCTCATTCAGTGTGCATCAACTAAATTCTCGTCCGGATAAACAAACTCTTGTTTGAGCGAATCCACTTTTTGGCCGTGAGAAAGCAAGATTTACTTTTCTGAGCCAAAGGTTCGGTTTTTTGAAATCCCTTCGAAGAACCTAACCGTTCGTCGGTTAGGTTCTTCAGTTCTTCGGTTCTTCAGTTTAGACGACCAGGCTTGGATTGTTACAACCGAAGAGTGTGTATTCAGGTAGGAATTTAGTCGTTTCAACGAAATGGGTTTCTCAGTGCACTCACGATGGCGCGTTGACGAACAACTCTTTTACATCTTCGTCTTCTAGCTTCGAGAGGAAGGTATTCCTCGGATATCACTTTCCGTTTCCGAGCAACACGGAAGTCTAAGACCCGGTCGCGCACCAACAATCTCCAGCGGCTTCAGTAAGTCCGGGGATTTCGCGGTTCCTCTCGGGGATGCAGCCTATCGCGCGGATAGAACGGGATAATTCGGTCGTCGGAAGCGTCCGAGCGACGTTTCTGGAAACCAGGATGAGAAATCTCACCGTCGTGTGTCGCATCGTTGCCGATTGTTCCTCGAGAAGAGGGGAGGATTTCTCATCTATTCGATTTGTCGATTACTCGCTCCCTACACGGAAAGAAATCAAGATTCGCTCTTACAAGCGGGACCATCAATCTTCAACAATTTCGAAACTTTGGAGAGAACTTGAAACTCTCGAATTATGGAAAGCCGAACCTTTAATGATATTTAAAAAGTCATAAAAGCTTCACGAATTTTACGCTTCGAAGCGTCGAAGAGTATAGCCTCACGAATACTGTGGACTAATTTTTTATTCCAAGAACATTGAGAAACTTTGTCAACGAATTTTTATAAACGAACGGTGGCACCAGATATTATATAGTCTCTTTCTTGTAACGAGGGATATGTCTTTCCCGTTGCGTTTATACTCGACCTAACAGCGGAAAAGTGCGAAATTTAGGGAAATCTTGTAATTCCGATGTTTCGAAACTTGGATATGTTCCAAATTCAAATACTAAACGCCCGGGTTTCAGATTGTCGGAATATTCGAAATTCGAATGTTGAGGCCTTCGGAAGAAAACATCAGCTCTGGTTGGAATTAAAAATCTCGCCGGCTTTGCCAAAATCCACGGTCGTAATAACGTATACATTGCGTCACATATGCCTTACCATTCCCTAAATAGAGGAGTACACGATTTTCGGCTTTATGCACATACGCATAAGGTCGAAAATCGCATAATTAACTCCTACTTGTGACAGCAGACTAAATCATATAATAATATAAATTTAATATAAACTTTGTCCATTAAATTGAATAATCTAAATATAAATCTGGCGGATCAACCGATTACTATTTCTCCCGTGTACAGGTTCTGGCATCAACGTAAAGATCAATGTATTTCCCATTCGCTTCGCGGGTCACGTGGCCTCAAACGCGCACGAACCGAATCTGCGCTGAAATGCGCGCGTGCGGGCAATAGGGGTGGGTAAACCGACACACCGACGCTACATGCCGACACAACACGTGTAAACCGAGTCTTCCGACGTTCTTATTACATTACTATATCGCTTAGTTTGCCGTCACAAAAGGGAGCTGTTATACGATTCTCGACCTTATGCGTGATACGCATAAGGCTGAGAATCGTGTGCTTCTCCGAGCTCTCGAGGAACCACCGTGACGCAGACTTCCGTGTTCCCCACGTCCTCCCGCTCTTAATAGGGCACGTGGATGTCCCTGGAGCGCGAGCGACCCCTGCAGAGCCTGCAGACGGCGATGAAGCAGGCCAGCCCCAGGAGAATAGCCAATCCGGCGCCGAGTCCGGCCCCGGCCCAGCCGGCGGGCCCGGTGAAGCCTCCGCCGTTGCCGTTGACGGGGCCGCCGCAGGTCTCCACCGACTCGTCGTCCGGCTCGTAGAAGGTGCCGTTGAAGACGCTCGACAGGCCGCGGCTCGGACAGTTCACCACACCGTTGCAGAGCAACCTGGCGGGGATGCATCCGGCGTCGGCGGGGCACTGGAAGGCGCAGTCCTCGAGCTTCTGCGTGTTGAGCGCCCCGGAAGCATCCCTCGGCAGATGGTAGAGCTCGGTCCAGGCGATCTTGAAGGCCGCCCTGGCCGGCGCCATGGTCCCGGTGAACTGGACGATCACCGCCGGCGACTCCTCGCCGTCGGCCGGGTGGTCCGTCGTCGGCGCGATCTGCGCCGCCGAGATGATCGGCATCTCCCTCACGTAGCTGACGTTCTCCCCGCAGATGCCGAGGTACGGGCCGGCGTTGCCCGGCAGGAAGATCTCGAGCTTACCGTCCTCGCAGGAGCGCGAGGCGAACTTGATCTTGTCGAAGTGCAGCCACAGATCGCGCTCCCGGTTCACCCGCAGCTCCCAGATGCACTTGATCGTCCGGGGCGGCGTTACGTAACCGAGGGCCTCGTAGTGGGGGAACTCGATCTCGCCGTCGGTGCTGGCCGGCAGCAAAGCGGGTCCGCAGAGCGGGCTGTGCGCGAACTCGTACTTCGCCTCGAAGAGAGGCGCCGGCATCTTGAAGTAGCTGGTGGCCGCGTGAGCGCCGTCCACGAGGAGCTTCAGGTCGAGCCTCTCGCCGCGGGACACCACCCTGAGCAGAGGCGGCGGCGGCGGCGAGCCGGTGCCCGGCGATGGGCTGCCGTTCGACCGGCACAGGCAGTGACCCTTCACGCCCTCCGGGCTCGGCTCTCGGATGATCACTCGGTCCACCCGGCTGTCCCAGCAGTGGCCGCACTGGGCGTACGGGTGCTCCTTGAAGGCGATCGACTCGATCACGAGGATCACCCGGGCGTACAGCCGCTTGTCCGTGACGAAGGTGTAGGTGCAGGCGAGGTCGGCCGGCGGGTCGCCCGGTCGTTTGTACACTAAAGTGTTGAGGGGCGAGCGGAGCTCGCCCGTGCGCGACTTCCACGACGCGAAGGTCTCGTCGCACTCCGTCCCGGGGATCGGCTCGCCGAAGCGCGTCGCGTTGAAGAAGTCGTAGTGGGCCCAATAATACAAGGAACTACCGGAGTAACTGCCGGTCTTGCTCTCGAAGCGCACGAAGAGGGCGTTCGAGCTCGACACGAAGTCGTGCTTCTCCATCGGCTTGCTGAAGGTGTCGCAGAAGGTCTTGATGATGCGCGCGTCGTCCGGCCAGTCGGCGTCGTACAGAGTCAGACTCTCGCCGCAGTCGCCGTCGTACGGCTGGATCGGCGACTCGATGCGATTCACGCGGAAGCTGGGGAAGTAGAGACGCGCGATCTCGCCCGGTCGGCCGCGCAGGAGGTACGTGCAGCTGGTGTGCGGCGGGTACCAGTGGGCGACCGAGAGGAAGATACCCTCGTTCCCGGTGAGCAGGGACTCGCTGTTCAACAGCCAGTCGCAGCTGCCGTTCTTCACGCCGGCGGTCTCCACGTGACCCGGCCAGTTGCCGACGTTGAAGTGGAAGCCGGTGTTGAGGAGCGGCCCGGCCGGCGACGACACGAACTCCACGTAGAGGTCCTCGCTCGTGCCGATTATGCTGTACGGGAACTTCCCCATGCCGCAGAAGGTGCCGATCGTCGGGCTGCTCTCGTTCTTACCGTCGTAAACGCGGATGTAGTCGTACGGGCAGTGCTCCGAGCCCGAGCTGATCGGCCGCATCGGGCAGGTCATGATGTTCTCGCATCGCTGCCCGTCGATGTTGAACTCCTCGTTCTCGATGTAGAGCTTGATGAACGGCAGTCGGGTGTTCAGCCGGTACTTGCAGTGGAGGGCGCGCGGATAGATGCCCGGGTAAGCCGGGCTCTGCACGTAGCACGTCTGCAGCCGGCAGTCCTTGAAGACGCGCTCGCAGTAGCTGCCCGGCACGATCTCGCCCCGCCGATTCGGGTAGAGCTCCGGATGCTGCCCGTATCGCAGGTAGACCTCGAACTGCTGCTCGGCGCGCGAGTCGAAGCTGAAGTACGTCTGGTCGGTGAAGTTGTCCGCGTGGAAGAGCACCCGTACGAAGCTCGTCTCCGAGATGAAGGTCTGCGGCTGCTCGGACTCGCCGCAGTAAACGCCCGGGTCTTTGCGATTGCTCACCTCGGTCTTCGTGTTGCCGTCGATGATCTGCGAAACCAACCGGGAGACCGGGCGAATGCTTGCTGTTTCGCCCCTGGGAAGCCGAATGCACGCGGGTTCGATGAATCACGCGGCCATTTCTTACCGCGATCTCGATTAATCGGCTAAATGAGCTCTCGAGTCTCCTCGCGAGAAGGAAAGGAAGAAACGCGAGAGAGATACCGCTTTTCGCCGCTCGTCTTTTTTTCTCGCTCGGTGGAAATCTGTAAATCGAGGCTAAGACGGGCGCGGAGGAAATACGAGGAGAATAAAAAGCGCGCGCACAGAGAGAGAGAGAGAGAGAGAGGGGGGGATGGGAAGAAAAGAGAGAGTAGAGGTTTACAGCGTCACAAAGATCAATACCTGATACCGAAGTAACTGAGAGGGGGGGAGGAAGGGAGGGAGGCAGGACGAGTGCGCGCGCGCGCGCGAGAAAGAAGCAGATAGAGGGAAACGGAGGGAAGAGAGAATCATTTATTACGTTCGTCTACACGGGAATGCGCTAATTCGAATCATCGATACGGCTCGTCTCTCTCTCTCTCTCATTCACTCCGACGAAATTAAATTTAGAAACGTCCCCACCGATAATTGGAGCCGATGTTAACACGAGAGATCGATCCGTCCCATCCTTAACTCGTTCTCGCAAACAAGCTTAGAAATTATATCGGATATCGATATCCGCAAACGTTATCGCGTTCGATGTAGACCGGCGAGTAGCCTGAGAGGGAGAGAGAGAGAGAGCGGAACGCAGGTTGTCAAGCTGGACGAATGAACGCTCGCAGACGTTCCTGATTGTTCTCGGGAGAATCTCAAAAATTTCGTCTCTCTCTTTCTCTCTTTCTCGTAATTCCGTTCTCGTGGATTCATTTAACGAGAGACAGCAAGATTCGCGGTAGAAGAGGTAAAATCTACGTGGGGGAGAGAGGGGGGAGGCGAGAATCGACCGCTGGCGTGGACACCCCGAGTAGAAAAATGTTAGGAAAAAAAAAACTAGACAGAAACTGGGCAGTTCTCACCGGCTTGAATCAATTAGACAGTAATTGTTCAGAAATTGTCTGAAAAATGTTGACTTCTCAGCCAGTTACTTGCCATAAATTATAAAAAGAAAAATAGTAAGTTAATGCTAGACAGTTTCCAGCGGAAACTCTTAAAATTCTGGCTGGTGTTTCTTGGCTAGAATTTCCTGGCCAGAAATTAGGCAAAGTAATAAACGGATGAAAGAGTAAACGGACGAGATGCTCGAAAGCTTCTTAAGAAAACTGGTCGGAAACCGTTAGCTGGTTTTACCATCCAGTTATTGTCGAAGCAAAGGTCTCTCAAACGTGTGAGTTTTTGGCCAGTAAGACTGATCAATAACCGGTTAGTTAGAGAATTACCGGCCAGTTACTGGCTGGAAACTGCTTTTTCATTTCCACTCGGGACGTTTAATTGCTCGAGCGCGCGTAACTCTCGCGGATAGTTGAAAGACGCTCCGTATCCACGAGATTCCAAGGGATATCTCATCGATATCACCCTCCTCCATCCCTACCGCCCGTGTCATCCCGCTACAAGTCTCATCCACCCCTCCTTCCCCCTCCGCCGCGCGTAGCATCGGTGTCAACCTTCAATAACGAAAGAATAATCTAGAAACGGCGCTATTCATCGAACTGAAAAATTTCAATTCCAGCGCTCGGCTAATTGGCCGGATTCTCCCTCCAATTAATAAAAATGCGGAATACGAGTTTCGATAGGGAAAAAGGGAAGAGGGGAGGTGAGCGGAGGAGGAGCGGAGGACGGATGGACGCGTTGGATCGCAGCGATCCTGAAATGAAACTGCTACACGGGGATGAACGGGGCTTCGCACGAAGGCGCGCGAGGACTCTGTCTTACCTGCAGGTATCCGCCGCTGCAGGTGGTCGCATTCTCCAGGACGCCGACCTTAAACTTCTTGAAGCGAACCCGCAGAATCCAGTCCCGGGGCGTCCCGCGGAAGGCACGAAAGCGGTACCAGCACGAGAGAGGCTTACCCCAATTCGCGGCGGTCACCGCCGGGCTCGACACGTCCTCGTAAATGTCCACTGTTTTGTTGCAGTGGCCTCGGTCCGCTGAAATAGAGGTGGTTGTAGTGAAAGGACGCGCCCCCTCCCTCCCTCTCTCTCTCTCTCTCTTTATTCACCTCCCTCTTCCACTCGTAAATTACCTTTCCACGAGCATCAACTTTTCAGCTCGATCCACGCGAGTAAATCACCCTAATGCGGATAGTTAAGATTCGTGGCGTAACTCATTTGTTACGCGATAATTCGACCTGTTGGCGTAACAGAGTTGCGATAATTGCCGGTAGCTCCGCCGGGGAATAAGCTATCAGCAGCTGGCCGAGATGAATTTTCATGAAAAACGCAGATTCAAGTTCCCCCGGACACAGAGAGAGAAAGAGAGAGGGAGCATGTGGATTTTTTTCCGCCGGAGTGATTAATACTTCATGAGCGAACAATCCGAGCCGAGATTTTCATGAATTAAATTGAATTCAGAGCGACGGGAAGTGATATAAAACAGCACGACGAGATTCGCGGGCTGTGTGCGCGCTAAAGGCACGAAATCAGTCGGGAGGGATAATCGCCAAGTCGTACCGTGGATTACAAAAGAGATTTCCCGATATATTAGGAAGTCGACCGATAGAAGGACTGGACAAACTCCCCGTTTGATAAATGAAATATCGGCTTAAAACTAGAGTCTTAAATATAATTCAAGTGGCCATTTTTTGATAGGAAAGCAATTTTCAGATTCCCGCGAAAGGAGATGAGAGGTGGTTGAAGGAAAAAGTGCTGTAAATGGAGTAATCAAGGACTGAGTACCGAAATGAGATTTTGCTTATGGTTTTACACCGGCATTGTATATTTATACCGTTTTCATCGTTGGTGTTATAATATACTTTTATTTTATAATACCGTTATATTGGACATCCAATACCAGTGTAATACCAGTACGCGCAGGTTTCGATACGATATAACCGATGTAATATTAATATTATACACATTATTAATATATTTTGAACATCAAGTTATGGTGCTTATGAAGACATATTATATTGTAGATTCAGTGTCGAGCGAGGCGAGTAAATATGAATTTCTAGAATTACACCCGATTAGAATCCCGGGCGTAAATAAAGAAGCGTAATTATATTCTACATATCGAAAGTCGCCATTTTATTCACACTGATGCTCAGAGCGATCTTCCAGCATTTACTATTTCGAGTAAGTGATGAATAAGGCTAGCTGTCGATAGTTTAACCTTCATAATTTATAACCTGAGCGAAAATACTCTTCCTATAATTTATAGATTCTCGTTAATAACCCAGCGACCAAAATGGAATTTTATATTTAGTCTATATTAAAATTATATGTAACAAAACTACTAAAACTTATATCAGTTCGCTATTACGCTTTTAGAATGACTTTGAAATTTAGATCAAGCTAATCAATGAATAAGAGAAATTCTAATAAATATAAGAATAATAAGAATTGCTGGCAGCAATTTTCATTTCTCTTACAACTCGCCGTTCCAGAATGACTGGAAAGTTGATAATTTCTATCTGTATTAGTAAAATACGGAAGATTTTTTTCAATAATGTTTTTCCGGTTAGGAGGTATTTCGGATAGATTGCATCTACATATTTTTGTATTATGACTGTTCCTAACGAACGCCAAATGACATCACATCCCTCATACTTGTAATTATAATTGCCAATTCAACAATGTAAATGTAATATAATACGTGCTATATGAACAATTACATTGTTGAGCGGGGAATTATAACGTTATAATATTATTGTTGCTTGGTGTCTGCTGGTTTTGAGAAGAATCGACACATTAAACGCAACAGTAATATAACAAATATACACGCAACAATAAACATACACACGCATTATTACCGTTGTATTCAACGTGACTGAGTTGTGCGATTCTTCGCAAAAAGACGGACAATTATAATAATAAAAAAAAAATGTATAAATACGATGCGCCAGAAATACCCTAAATGTAAAGTGAAAAGCATTATAGGAGTTTCGTGTAAAGCCGGTAACTCGGCTGACAGCAATTTTCAATCACCCGCTTAGCTCAGTCAGACTTTGACGAAAGTCATTCGTTGAACGAAAGTTGCTTAGCTCAGATCAGACGCGATTCAAATAGCCGATCGAACGGATTTCTTCTCAACAACGCTTCTCCGTTTTACACATCTGGGATTCCGCCTGAAAAGTGTTCCGTCCGTCGTCGACGTCGCCGACGACGGCGAATGAACACGACGGAGCGAGTCGGCGGCAGGAAGTTTGAACGATCGTGAAGAAACCCCCCGAAAAATCGGACTCACCTCTGCGGATGGCAGCGGGACTGGGGGTGGTCAGGAACAGGAGGACTACGACGAGAAATCCCCAGCCCCAGCTGCCGGCGAAGAGTACCGGCGCAGGTATTCGTGGCATTCCCGGGCACGAGTACCGAGGCTGTCAAAATACCTCCTCTCCCCTTGCCGCCATTTGCCTCTCTTCTCGACCGGACACCTAAAGACGCGCGCACATAAACACACGAAACACACACACACACGCGTGCAAAAAATCTCGCTCCTTACGAGTGACGCCGCTGATCGCGCCTGTTTCGATATTTGCGCGTCTAAATGTTCATTCCCCCTCCCCCCCGGTTAAATTCATTGTGGGGAAACGATTAAGCGTGTGCGATCGGTCGCGATTAAACCGCATATGTAAAACACGGCCCGCGTGCGCCTCTTTCATTCCAAGCGCGCGCGGAGGACAAAGGCGGCGGCTTTGTGCGTATATAAACGTGCCATTAAACTACAAATATGAATATTCAAATGTCTATTTGCACGCTCGAATGGGCGTTAATCAGCTTTTCGGGCGGAATACAAGAGAGAGAGAGAGAGAGAAGGATCGCGCACGATTCGCGACGTATTACGAAGGAAACGAGGGTGAATACAGGCCGAGCTTTTCGGAGGAAATCTCGAATGCCGCCGCTCGAGAAAGGTTGAATTACGATACGGCCAACCTGGTGAACGTAATACAGACGAACAAATGTACTCGTATAGCAGCGCACCGTATCGTCATTTATCCGAAGGACAATAAGGGACGGCCGAATGGCAGTTTGATGGGCCAGATGGATCGCGAGTACCGGAAGGGCCTCGTTCGTTCGTACGTCCATGTCGAGAGAGAGAAAGAGAGAAAGAGAGAGAGCGGCCTGATAATTGGTTAAATCCGCACGTTGACTCCGCTATCGACAACAGTACTTCAATCCTCCGGAATTTCCTCTCCCTTCTTCCACCTCCCTCACTCACTCTCTCTCTTTCTCTCTCTCTCTCTCTTTTTCCTTCTCATTCATCGGTATTAAACCCCATCGCATCTTTCATTTTTTTGCACATCGCGCTGCTCACAAACATTGTCCGTTTCTTCTTTCTCTCTCTCTCTCTCTCATGGATTTAATATCGTCTTTTCTCAGCACGTTTACGTACACGAATGTCATTCCACAATGAGTATTTCAAGCCCTGAGAAATAGTATGAAGAGAATAATTGACTATGATTGGACGATTTCTTAAGACTTAAAATACCTATTATTGTGGACCGATACTGACCTAGGCGACGATTCGCGCATGTGTCCGACAGATGAAGACACCCGAGTGTGTGCGAGGAGGAGCGGAGAGTATCAAGCGAGCAAATAGCTAACCCCGCGGCCTCCGATCCGACCCGTCGATCATTGCTGTCCGTCGGAAGGTCGCCAAGGTCGCGCGAAAATTGCTTGTTTTTTTCCCTCGCCTCCCCCTCGATGACTCCGGAGGACTCCCGGTGGAAATCGGCGCGCGCGCGCGCGCGCGGCTCTCGGATCGATGTGCGCGTTCGTCGGATTTTCCGATCCCGCCGTTCGCGCGCGGAATTGAATAAAGGAGGACGCGCGCGCGTGCCGAAAATACCGAATGAACCTTCCGTAGTTAGCAGCGCGCATCAGCAATTTAGATCGCGCGCGCGTTGATTACGCACGGGTGCATACCGGATGATGCGTCCCGTTTGGAAACAAAACAACCAACCGAACAGCGCTGGGAGAGAGAGAGAGAGAGAGAGACAGAGAGAGCCCGAACGATTTCAAGCGGAATCGTCGATCGATATTTTTTCCCACTTTTTTTCCCCCTTTCTTCTTCCTAATATTTCACCCCCGGACGAGGAGACGGCGTTCCGGCGCGCCGGATGCATCGACAACAAGAACGTTCTTCGTTATTCCCGCACGAATTCGGTCACAAGCGTCCCTCCATCTGCGTTTCTCGCGTCTCACGCGATCCACGGATGCACCGGGGGCTAAGAATCGCAGAAGGCGATTACGGATGCACCTTAGGAACAGCGAGCAGGACTCGCCGGCCGATCGATCGATCTTGCTGCCCCCGTCGCCGGGGGCTAATAATAAAATCTCAGGTGAGTTACCTGGACGGTAGGAGTATGTTTATAAGAGGCAAGAATAAGAAACCGATCGTAGCCGATTATTCCTCTCACACTCGAATCATGATTGGTCGATTTTTTATTCTTACTTCCGGTGAACATAACTCCTACTGTCCATTGTAATGCCCACGTTTTACGACGAGCTCTCTCTCTCTCTCTCTCTCTTTCTCGCCTGGGTCTCGCAATCAGCGGATTTCCGGCGGCGGAAGAAGTGATTAAAATTCAATCAAACTTAACTTCCCCGCAGGAAACGAAACATGCACGTGCACACCCACGCACCTTTATCATAACCACGCACTCGCTCGCTCGCTCGCTCGCTCGCTCGTTCCGTTCCACAGTTATCCCTCGGATCTCCGCCTCGGACCTTTCTCGCTGCCGATCGAAATCACCGTCACGATATCCTCCACGCGGTGGCCCTCCTCCAGTATGCCATCCTCCCTCTCATCGGACCGGACGAGTTCCCAGCGAGAATCGTGCGCGTCCTTTCTTTCTCTCTCTCTCTCTCTCGTTTTATCTCTCTTTCTCCTCTTCCTTCTCTCTCTCTTTGTCTCGTGTATTGGCGTACTGACTTTTACATCGTCGTCCTCGACAGGAAACCACGTCTAGCTTATCGTCGCACAGTTTCCTCCACGACCTTCGATCGCGCACAACTGACGCACATACAGCCGCGGGAGGCTCGTCGTCGACGATCACCACCGTTCAGCTTTCCCGGTGGCTGGAAGCGAGCGCTGCAGCGGGGATGCAGCGTGTCATCGGCGCGTCATCTCGCCGTGCTGCGAAATCAGGACGAGGCAGCGACGGGGAAGAAGCGGCGCCCGTATGAAAGAACGGAAGGGAACGAGGAGAGAGGAAAGCGGAGCTCGAGAGCGAGAAAGAACGGTGGACCGATCGGACAGGTAGATCAGACAGGTAGGTAGATCTCGGACAGACAGAGTTCGACAAAGACGGGCGAAAAAGCACTCCGACGGAGGGTGGGCTCAGTTCGGAAAGCTGGACTCGAGCCGACTGGCTCTGTGCACGAAAACTCGAAACGTGGCTGGCTGGCTTAACGTCCGCTCCGATCGGCGGAGCTGCCTCGGCGGGTCGAAGCTTCGCGCAAGCTCCCTGCGCTTCTCTTTCTCCCTGTCTTTCTCCCACGACGACGTCAGCGTCATGGCGGAACGCTCCCCGTTCCACCCTCCTCCGCCTTTCGCCCTTCCATTTACGATGACTTTCATTGAACTGCTCGTCCTTCCCCCCCCCCCTAGGCTCTCCTGTCTTCCTTCTCCTCTTTCTCTCCCTCTTCCACCCTCTTCCACCACCTTCTCCTGCTGCTGCCTCCCCTCCCGCCCGCTCCTCCACCCTGCGATGACCTATTGCACCTATTGCTGGCCCTGCTCGCCCCTGTCCTCCTCCTGCGCGCGTTTTGTCGCTGACCCTTCCGCGCTTCTGTGTTGCCTACGCTTGTGTCCTCCCCCTTTCTTTTTTATCTTACGCCACTCTCTCTCTCTCTCTCTCTCTGTGTTCGGGTGTTCGGAGGGCAAAGGGAGTGCGCGGGGGAGGGCAATCGATAGGCACGTTAATACGCGCGTAGCTTCGTGCTTATCGCGCGAATTTAGCGCTTCCGCTCCGTGAACACGCATGCAAACAGCTCTCTATTAAAAATAAAAGCAATTGCGCGCGCGTGCGCGCCCGCTCGCTCGACGTTCGCTACTGCCGCTGCTCGACACGTCGCAATTCACACCTGACGTATCGATTTACGACGAACCGAAGGATTATACCGCGCGAACGAGCGAGCGAACGAGAAAGAGAGCTTCCGACCGGCGCGGGCTTTTCGGGGTTCCCCTCTCTCTCCCTCTTACAGGCGTGCGTGTATGCGTTTGTGAATGTACAAACATATCTCGCGATCGAACACACGCAGCGTTGTTCATCCGAAGCCCGTACAGGTAACCGTGTGTACATCGCGAGTTCAATTTTCCAGACGGCGGACGATCGCCGGTCGAAGCGCGTAATTCGCGCCAATTGGCGCGGAGAATAATAAACATGGAAGGGGAGGGGGGAGTGTGCGGGAGGCATCCCGGCGAAACCCGAACCCTCTCTCGCGAAGTTACACCGCGGCTGTCCCCCCTTCCCCCTCCCACCTGTTTCTAGTTCCGACAGGGTCGTTTAAACGCTCGGGAGGGAAAGAGAGAGAGAGAGAGAGAGAGTGTGTGTGTATGTGTGTTCGAGCACCTTGTGTTTCTGTGGCGAACGAGCGAGCGAGCTGGCGCGGTTCTACATTAATTAGCGTTAAAATAAACTTAACCGGGCGCGAGATAGCTGCCATAACTTAAACCGTATTTATGGCCGGCCCGGGTCTAACCCGGGTCCGCACGATGCAATCCCGCAAGCTCTCTCCGTTCTGTATATGTACGCAATACGAGCGTAATTCGGCCGATACTGAGGTCCACGGGTAAACGGGGATTATCGAGCCGCATTCTATTATACACCGTGGAACGGTAATAAGCCGCGGGTATAAAGAAGAGTAATCAAGGGCGCAGCGGAGCGTAACGCAGGAAAAAGTGATACGATCGAGCGGGAATACCGGAGGAGACGCGAGGAGAGCGCGGGAACGACCAGGGCGATAATTCGTCCGAAAATTCGGACGAAGAGACGCACCTGCCGAGGATGATCGTTGACATCGCTGCTGAGTCCAGGTGCGCGCTCAATCGATACGGTCAAACTTATATTGCGCCCCCCCCCCCATCTCTCCCCCTCCATGGGGGATGAAAAGGACTCGCGATATTGTTGGCGCCCCGCGTCGAAATTTTCATGCCATTTCAACAATCCTTTATTAATCTCTTCGTCTCATCGAACGACACGTCACGTGTTTCTCGTATCGAGAAAATCGTGCGATGATAAATCGCCGTGTGAATTAGAATAACGTGCGATAAAATGTTTTTCATCTTCTTGAGAGATATATGAGTATCCATAAACTGAAATGAGAACTTCCTCGGTCCTGCTGGTACGCACAGACACACGGCGCGAAATCGAATGGTACGCACGTGGAAAATTATTTTCGATTAAATCGCACGTCAAGCGGGAGAGAGAAAGAAGTTAACGGTAATTTACGTCTACTTGAATAGTCACAGACCGATGAAAGCGTAACTCAAGCTGATATATCGGCGTTTGGTAATTTCTTGAATTCTTCATTCTTCAAGTTTAATTTTAACGCTATCTCGAGTAACCTATTTTGACGTAAATGAAAACGCAAATGAAACGGAAATTTAAGGCGTCATCAGAGTCAATTAGAAATAAATTAGGCCACTCTGAACCAAAAAGTTCCTTAACATTTTGCAAATAGCACACAAATTGTTGAGTCATTAATTAAAGAAGCCTCTATAAACGACTATTTTCAATTATCGATAACTTGAAATTTTATTAGCGCAAAATATAGGAACTTTCCCGCTCAGTTTCGCCCGTTCTACGTTGCACGCAGCACGGGAACCAAGATTAATTTGGGACACCCTGTATACATAAATACACATGTCTCAGTATTCTTAAAGAGAATAAACGTGTCCCCGTCGTCATAATTTCGCGTCGACGAATCGAGTCATCCGGGAATACGTCACATCGCGTCGTCTGTCCACTTTATTTATCTCACAATTGACCCACTTCTGCCCATTGTATTCGCGTAATATCGATTCGAACTTTTCGCGTTTATCACACATACGTATCACAGGCACTTCGAGCGAAGCGAAGGAAATAAATACACTCGAGAATCAATACGCTACGAACGCGATATCGGCTGAAAGGCCGCTCTTATATGCTGGGGAATCTGCTGCGCTCTTCGGGCTCTCATTGTCGATAGACCTGTCGGTTACAAAGACGTAACAATGTTACGTTACGACGGTTAACTGACGGCTAACCGATCGCCGGTGTCCCGAATTGCTGCTGGCCGGTATGATCGGCACGATCGGCGGAAAGACGGCCAACGACGACGAGAACTGGGCGATCTGGACTTTTCGAAAGTTGCCGAACAATCTTACGGGCCAATTCGTCGCGGTAAGGAAACGGACGAGCGGGTGCGCTTACCACAAACCGTCCGTATAATAAAGGTCCGACGCTGCCTGACGGACCCGCACGTCGTCGTCCGACATGCGGCCGGGCGTCGTCGTCATTTACAAGCTGATTAATTGCGAACCACCCCGATCGCATCTGCAATCAGCGGGAACGCCGAGACGAAGAGGACGAATTAGGCGAGACGGCGCGTGGGACGCCGCCGGCGGAAATTCTATAAGGATAATCGCGGTTGCCGAGGTAGGCAAGTGAAAAAGGATGATATGAAATCAGAAGGAACTCTTGTGCGACTCGCACAGAGGAAAGAAATTTTGCTGGAACAGCGAATATGCTTGTCGAAATAGTGACAGGGAGAAAAATTTGTTTAGATGGCAAAAAATTGCTCCGGACAATGCCGAATGATTTGTGGAGAGTATTAATTATCCATATATCCAGCAAGTGGCAATGAATATCTTGACAAATCTTTC